GTATTAAGGGGTTTACTATCTAAGGTAGTAAGCCTTGGGTATTTGCCAGGGTGTGGCAACCATATGGCTGGTTATGTGGGGGAGGGGTCCAAGAAGAAACAACACTGCTTGCTCAGCTCTCAGCTGGCTTTCAGTTACTTCCTCTGCTACCCACAAGCAAATTGGGCCCTTCTGGTGCTGATTCCCAGGTGGGTGGGTTTGTGTGTGTTCTAAGACCTGGTGGGTCTCTCCAACGAACTTTCCTGTGAGGCTAGGAGTTTCTCCTTCAGCCTCAACTCTCACAGGTTTTTTCAGTCAGAGGTTTTGAAGCTTTATTTCCCTGTGCTGAGACCTCAGGTTGCAAGGTTTGTCTTGCTCCCCAGTTGTTTTTCCCCATTCATCCGCACTCAACTGTGGGACTGCTCGCTCTGCCAGCCACTGCCTTGCTGTAAGTCCTCTCTACCCCAGCTATCTATCTTTTCCCCTCCTACAGGTCTGGATAAATGTTTCTTCTTTAACTCCTTGGCTGTCGGACTTGCATACAGTTCAATTTTCTGATAGTTATGGTTATGTTTTGTTTTTAAATTTGTTGTTGCCCTTCTTTTGCATGTGCAAGGGGCAAAGGATCTACACCTCCATCTTGGCCAGAAGTAGCATTGCCCTTCCTTCTCAAGCTTGCTTTGCTATTGAAGTTTTTGGTGGGTGTGATTTCATACAAATTTTAGGATTATTTGTTTTATTTCTATAAAAATGCCACTGGATGTTTGATAGAAATTGCATTGAATTTTTAGATTGCTTTTGGTAGTATGGACATTTAAAAAATATCAATTCTTCAAATTCTGGAGCACAGAATATCTTTGTTGGTTTTCTTTAATTTATTTCATCAATATCTTATAGTTTTCAGTGTACAGGTCTTTTATACCTCAGTTAATTAGGTTTGTTTTTAGGTATTTTATTCTTTGGATGCAATTATAAATTGAATTTTTCTTAATTTCCACCTTTGATAGTCTGTTTTACCATATAGAAATGACACAAATTTTGGCTTATTGATCTTGTATTCTACAGCTTTACTGAATTAGTTATAATAGTTTTTTTTGGTGGAGTCTTTAGGGTTTTCTACATATAATAAAATTCATCTTTGAATAGTGACATTTTCACTTCTTCATTTCTCATTTAGATGCCTTTTATTTTTTTTTATTGAGAGGTCATTCTTTTTTTTAAAATTTTATTTAGTTATTTTTCAAGTACATTTTTTTTGGTCTATTTCTCCCATCCCAGCCCCGCCCCCACCCCAGCCCTGTAGAGGTCATTCTTAAAATTCTAGATTGCATTACTTCTATTTTTACATGCTCTCACATGTAATGATTGTATATGGTTCACCACCCTGAGAGTCCTTTCATTACTTGTTAAATACTGGCCTTCCTTGCTAGAATGTGAACTTCATGAAGCCAAAGGTTATGATCACAGTACCTACTATACATATTTAATTCTCTATTTTAATCCTATTTCTATAGTTTCAACAGCAGCACATGCATAACAAGGTATAGACAGTGGACAGGTGAGAGCATAGAAATGAAATATATAGGGATGCCACCTTGGAAAACAAAGGTGCTTTTTTAATTTTAAGTAAAAATGATTAAATTATAAATAACTTTCATTGCTGTTTTTATAAAATTGAGAAGGAATGGGAGATTACCTATGCAATGGATTAAGCTTTGCATTCTAGAATTTGTGACTAGTATGCTGGCTTCATAACCTCTTTACCAGCTTCTCTGTGATTTGTTCCCTGCTTTCCCCTACATCTTCCTCCCCACCAGACTTTCTCTCATTCTTTATGCTCTGGGCTCCAGGCACACTGGTCTTCTTTCTGTCCCTGTAAGTGTTAAAGACGTTACTATGTCTCCTTGCAGATCTTCAAGTTTTGCCTCTTTCTCAGTATTTATGTCTTAATTCAAATATCACATTCTCCAGTTTTCTTTGTCATTTCCAGCTAAAGCAACAATTTCTATCAAATGGCACTTTCTACCATTTTGCAGTTTTTCTTCTTCAGAAACTTAGCATTACCTGAAATAATATAATTCATTTATTTGTTTGCATGATTAGTGTCTATCTGTTCACACAAAAGCAGGCACTTGCCTACTGTTCACTGGCAATATCTTCATCTCCTACAAAAATGGCACATAGTAAGGGCTCATAAATACATTAACTGAATCTGTTTGGACAAGCAAGAGGAGGTAATACAGTCTTTGAAATCCTAAAGATTTCCAAGATGGCTGCAAAATGTCAAAACAAAAGTGTGGTTTTCCTAAATGTGTCTAGTGACCTCTGCTGGAATACTTACCAAGGAAACAAAATACAAATCATTTTTTCTACATTGTCCTCTCACCCTGTTTTATCAAATGATAGTGTTAGTGTAAAATTAGAGATCAGAAACTTTTGAGATTCCTTTTCCCATGTTGGAGAAATCCCACTTCCCTTCTGTCCGAATGGACTGTTCTCTCTCTGCCCTTAGCTCACCATTCATGTATTTGCATGTAAATAAGTATGAATATGCTTTCAGTGTAAATCCTAGAGGAGCATTCAGGGATATTTAGAGTATTTGGGAAGCAGAGAACTTTCTGATTCCCAGCCAGACCTAATTGCATAAATGAACGCCTTTCTTTCCATGTATATCTGAAAGTGGGGGATTCATCCACATATCATGGATAGATGAAGATATATCCCATGGACATATTTCCCATGGTTCCATTTCCTTCACATTTGTTGACTCAAAGAGCAAGTTTGAAAAAGGTGTTCACCACTAAAAAGAAACTAACTGGCAAAGTGTCCTCATGTTGGGACGATAGGATCAGATGTCTACTTTGAGAGGTTGGGAGGGGATGACGTGTGGCTGATGGGGCTGGTACTTAAGGCAGAGCCCCAAGTGAGAGCTGGGAATCAAGATTTTCAAAATGATAACAGTGGGAATGAATGAAATAATCATGAGGTGATCTGACTGAACTTTCTGTTTTACTTATTCTGTGTATGAGATGAATATACGTGTAAATGTTCATTGCATAAAATTTATAAAATACTAATAAAGAAAAACAGAACTCATAAGTATTAATCGTTATCAGTACCACCTAAAGAAACCATTGTAAGAATTTTGTTTCTATTTCAGTCTTATATGTACTTCACTAGCACTTCATGAAATGCTAAATAAAATAATTAGCATTTGTTATTCATTGATATATGAAATATTTTCATTGATCTAAGATCATTTCCCTCAAAATGTAATTAATTATTCGAGCATATAATAGACGCATGTGGCACAATATTCAAAAAAATTAAAGAAAAATAAGCCTCCCTTTTACTCCTTTCCTCTGCAACAGTAACTACTGGGGAATGCTTTTGACAGGCCACTATATTTCTTCTATAAATAAAAGGGAAAGTTATTAAAATGGTTAATATAGTGCTAAGCATTATATTAAGTATTCTATATAAATGGTCCTATTCCCATCTTAGTAAGAAATGAAAACTTAGTTAAGAAATTGGCTTGAGATTACATAGCTGATAAGTGGCAGATTGGACACAGCCCCCGAAATGATTGTTTTACAATCAAGCACAAGGTGTTGGACACTACAAATGAATAAAGTTTCTCAGTATAATTCGGATGTTGTGAATTGGCTGTCCTGGGGCTTGTTTTCCCTGGAACAACCAGTCTCAGGGTTGCTGAGACGACAGACTGCAAACGTGCCTCTCTCCTCACCCTGCCGCCCCGTTCTCCCTACTTGTCAGCACGCCCTTCTGTTTGGTTTTATTGGAATTTGTATTTGCAGGACTCACAGAGGTTATGTCAACACAAGCAAATCCTTTTGTGAAGGAGAAAGGCATTGCGATAGTTTGGCCTCCCATCTTTACTATTTTAGTGATTTATTTTTTTTATTAACCACATCACTTTTTTCTTACCAATTGAATGAATAATGAACTATATACCTAAATTTACTTTTATAGGGAAAGATAAGAATCAACTATGTCAGGAATCATGAAAGCCGTTTAATCTGCTTGATTCACATTGATTCATTAATATTAGATTATGAAATATGGTTTTATCTATTTTAAAATAGGGCTTAAGTCAATAAGGCCAACTGTACAAAAAATGGCTAAAGACCAAACAAAAGGTTACAAATAGTACTACTAATAATAAATATTAAAAATAGTAATGTACAAACAAGTAACATTATTTTAAGATAATTCTGCTTATGATTCTAATGTGAAAGGTATTTTCTTGTGAATTTCAGTTCTACTGTTATACAGAATGACAATATAGAAGTATTGATTGTAAGTTAAATCTATAAAGTACTGTTCAAAATTAAGTATGCTTGTGAATGCTGTTACTTCATTCAGGAACAATCTAGAATGTGTCTCTGTGTGTGTAAATAAAGCAGCCTATTCGTACTTATTTACATGCAAATACATGAAAAAGCAAATATAGGACATTTACTAGCAGGTGATCTTGGTTATATTCCAGAACCTAGTATATTTTGCATCTTTGCCCATATTTGAACATTTTTATATACATTAAATTATTATTTATCAACTCAAAAATATTTGTAGTAAATGTACAAATAGGACTAAAATTACTACTATCTCATTAAAATGATGATCTGTTACTGATCACTCAAAACTATATTCTTTGTATATTATACTCAACACACACTTACATTTATATTTTTCACAGGAAATTTATTAAAAATTAAGAAAAAGGAATCTAAAATCTATACTTAACCTTCCAAATTAAATTTGCAGATGTAGAATAAAAAAGTAGTAATAATTTTCTAATGCTCTAGAAATGACAATCAAAAGAAAGAATTATATTCAGGAAATATAAAATGATTGAAAGCATAGAACTAAGCCCCAGTCAATTCTACATGTAATCTAAAATGGTCTGAAAACTTTATAAGGCGAATTGCTGATCTCAGATCACTTCGGAAGTGACGAAATGAGCATTGGTGACTCTGTGAGTCTAGGAATTTGGTCAAAGGGACAAGGGCTAAAGGTCTGGACACGATCAGCCTAGGAGATTGCCACTCTTGGAGCGGGTGCTAGCCTAAACCCCAGACTGAGGACTTCACTTCTGGTAGCTAACTCTCGGTTGTTTGGGTAGATTCAGATTCTGACTGGAGATACTGTCCTCAGTGGATCCACCTGAAAGAGACTGCACAGAGAACGTGACAATTCCTCCTCCAACCGGGAGCTCTCTGAAAAGCACATGAGATTTCATTCTGCTGGTTTAGTCCTATGTGAAGCTACCCAAGCCTGAGATTTACCAGCCTTGAACCTCCGCGATTCTAAAGCGCACCACTCCTGCAGTTCATTGGAAGAGTGATTCAGTCTCAGAGGATTGAAGAACCATGCTCCGAGGCCGATCCCTGTCGGTGACATCTCTCGGCGGGCTTCCCCAGTGGGAAGCTGAAGAACTTCCTGTGGAGGACTTACTGCTCTTCGAGGTTGCATGGGAAGTGACCAATAAAGGTTTGTACTGGCCCCGAATGTGGGTATTTGACAGATTGCTGGACAATGCATATTAGGAGAATGAATTAATTAAATGAATTGCCAGTGAGTTAGGAGGTATTCAAACTCTTTATATAAGTTTACATTTAGCTGTGTCTATTTCAACAGGCAACAAAAACTTAGACCTCTGTGTATGTGCTGAGGGGAAAGGTGAAGGTATTCGTCTTTGCCCGTGAAAGTGCATTAAAGTTAAAATTTGAAATCCGTGTTTTAGCAAAATAGAAATAAAAAGTTTTTTTTACTTTTTAGGTTTTATGATTTTATGATTTAGGTTTTATGATTTTTCCAGCAGAAAACAAAATTTTGTACTTTGTTTTAAGAAGAACTGTACCTGGTCAAGACCAAGTAGAAACTTTAACTGCATATGTTGATAGCAATTATGTGAAATATTTCATAATGTTTCTAATAATTCAAGATCATCTTGGGATTAAAGTTTTAATTTAGAAGCATCTCAGAAAGCCTAATATTCTTAATAAGAGCATAATATTGAGCTCCTATTAAGAGTAAAATTAATTTTTCAATAATTTATACTTAGAAATTATAGAATAAGGAAATCAAATTAAGAAAATTAAAACAATTTCCTATAAGGTATAATCTCATTTGTGCTGGATTAGAGAAGGCAAAATGAAGTACTAAACTTCAGTGATTTTAATAAGAAAGGTATGTGTAAAACTAAGAAAAAGGAATTTCTTACAGATTGATTGATATTCTTTAGTTTAAAAGTGTGAAGACTACTGATATTTTAAGAAGTATCTATGATATTTTAAGAAGCAGTAAGTTTTGAAGGTTGAATTCTTCAGGGTCATGAAAAACCAAGCAAAGCGATTGATGGGTGAAAGGAAGTGGTAACTTGTGGAATTCAAAGGCTCTGGAATGACAATGTGAGTATGATACATTACTCCCTTTTGGCTAATTGGAGCCAGCATAACCTCGGAATTCTATCTGACATCTGTTCAGACATTCACTTTATGCTAAGTGTTCAAAGTTCTCATGTATACACTTTCATAAAATTCATAAAATCAGAATTAAAAATCAATTCTGCCTGTGTAGAAATGCACCCAATGAATGTAAGAGAACAAAGTGAGGAGGATGCAAAGAGGACAGAACCCTTATTAAGGAGAAGTGTTTTATAAATATCTGTTTTTAAATGTTCTCTCTTCCAGTCTCAGTGTTTTTAAATATGCCCCATGTTCCTGGGAACAGAGCCATCTCTGTTACACATTAATTTCAGACCGTGCCTTTAAATAAATGTTTGTTCTGCAGAGTAGGCAGGCACTCAAAAATAGAGTTTGTTGGTGGTAAAAACTGGAGGGATTTGTCAGCACCAGGGAACAGTTCAGAGGATGTCTGCATGAGTTCCAGCACCTGCACAGAGAGCCCTTTCATCTTCCTCTGTTCTCTCCACCTAGCAAACCAAAGGGAACACAGTTTCCCGGGGCCGGGCACACTCTGGGGCCAACTGCAGTCCATGGATCTTGTATCCTGATGACACTCATGCCGATGCCAGGGCCTGGTACGGTGCCTGGCGCATAGAAATTGCTCAGAGAAATTTTTCCTTTTATTTATTTAATTTATTTTTAAAATATATTTTATTAATTATGCCATTACAGTTCTATTCCCCCCTTCATTCCCCTCCAACCTGCATACCCCCTCCCCTACCATTCCCCCCCCTTTAGTTTATGACCACGTTTTAAATGAAGGAATGAGTACATTTTGTTTCAACCTCTACAGTGCCTTTGATACTTATTTTCTCTCATTTCCCATGCAAGAGAAAGGGAATTTTGTTGTCTCAAGAGGTGACCCACCTTGTGATTTATCCAAGTTGATATCATCTCCAACATATCTTTATTTTAATATCTATTCTAATAGGTGACTCATGAATGGACAATTTTTTAAAGATTTTACTTATTTATCTTTAGAGGGGAAGGGAAGGAGAGAGGGAGAGAAACATAAATATATGGTTGCCTTTTGTGCATCCCCTGCTGGGAACTGGCCGGCAACCTAGGCATGTGCCCTGACTGGGAATCGAACCACAATTGTCTGGTTTGCAGGCCTGCGCTCAATCCACTGAGCTACACCAGCCAGGGCTGAATGGACAATTATTGTGCTCACCTCTCACAATGGGTTGACACCATGGTTTCTTTTTAAGTTTTACTTTGAAGTTGTATTTCCCTCTGGTTCACAGCCATGCTATGAGGCAGGTTAGAGATCACCAGCCCGACTCCTCTGTTTCATCAATGAAACAGACATCTACAGGCATTAATGACCAAGTAGATTACGGGGTTGGGACTGGCAGTTAGGTCTCCTCTGGGTGCACTTCTCTTTTAATTACTGCACAAGAGTAAAAATTAAACACCTACTGCCTAAGGAGATTTTCTATAGATGAAAGAACACAGGGCTTATAGTCAAAGATCATAGATTCCTGAGACTTTGTTAAATCTTACTGAGTATCAGTTTCTTCATGAATGAATGAATGTAATATGCTTCAGCCATCTTATAATGGTTTGTGGTGGCAAACAGGAAATGTATTTATATCCAAGAAAACAAAAGATCTCTTTGAGAGGAAAAAAAAATCCTTAGCGCCAAAATTTTGCCAACAATGAAAATGTATAAAATGTAACAAATGAAAGAGTCATAGTTAAATTATTGGATGCTAATTTTTAGACCTCAAGATAGCCTTTTTTTACTTGTTCATATTACCCTTGAGTTTATTGCTTTTACTCATTCTTCTATTTATTATTATAATCCACTCATTATTCAATAGAGATCCATCAAGTGTCTATTAGATGTCAGGCACTGGGAGATGAGGAGGATAGAGTTTAACAATACAGAATTGATTCCCAGTCTTCCAAAATCTACAGACTTGCAGGATGACAGGCATTGAACATGCACTTTTAGTCAAATGTGGTGAGTGTAAGAAAAAGTACAAAGCGCTCAAAGACTGTTTAGTGTGTGCATGTGTTTGTGGGGCCAGGGTTATGACTAGATTGGGGCTTGAAACAAAGCTCTTAGTACAATCCTTTCTCCTGCCTAGACTTGCCCGAATCAGTGTAGACTATGGATCAATTATCATGTTGAACATATTTAAGATCATTAAAAAGAGTTTAATGGACCTTGTCACAAATAATAAATGCTAATGTACAATGCATTCATAAAATGTTTATGTTGGATCATTATCAGACTGGCTTTAGCTTTGAGTGATTCCATGAGTCAGTTTTTAAACACAAAAGCTAAAAGTGGACAAAAAGATATGGAACAGGGTTGCTACAATCACAGGGGACACAGTAGTTTGGGGGTGAGCTTCCTCTGCCTGGTGTGGATGTGCTGTGGGCTGTAATTGGCATCTCGAACTACACCACACGAAACCCATAACCTATGGAAAAACCATGCTTGGTACACATACAGCTTTAAGAGGATCCCTGCTCTCCCCACTTCCTTTTTATGCAGATTGCCATGTCTGAACCCCTCCTGTGTGGCACAAGGGGTCGACACTGTGGTATAACCAAGGAGGGCGTGCATGTGGTCTGGCTTAAAGAGCTCACTTCCTGCCTGAGACTGTGCTGCTTTGTTTGAACCACAGACCCGGGAAAGTGCTGGGGGCACAAACATTTGTTGACCATCATCACCAGACATGTTTATTTTCTCGTTTTACCAGGCTTGCTACTTCAAAGAATGATGTTCTAATTGTATAATGACTACCCTGCTTCTGCAACCGTGTCTTGAGACAGAAGGGTCAGGGGATTAGCCATGCATGTTGAAGTCATATGACTTCCAAATTCTGTAACTTTTCAACATTTAAAGATAGTGAAGATACTCCTGATTGATATGCATATGTAAAATGCCTGTCCTTGGTTACTGTCCGTATTCCATACTGCTGGGAAATCCTGGTTTTAGTGACATCAGCAGTGTTTCTAGCTGAGAACTTGGGGTTGTAGCTACCTCAGTGCCATATTTGCCATGGGGGCTCATTTTCTATTTCTTATGAAAGGCTTGGTACTTTGACCTCATACTAAAGATAGCTCCCATGTTGTTTCAGAAAAAAATATAGAGATCAATAAAATCCAAAGTACATGTTTGAAAGTGAAGAGTTAGTCCAAATTCAGTGACCTACACTTTGGTAAAACAATAATTTATTAAAAATATGTGTTGTGAACCTCTGATTTAAAGCTCAGATTAGAACATAGGAATGACCTTGTATCTATGCAGTCAGACTCACCTCCAATTAGCATGCCAAGAGAGGAGTTCCTGGGAAACAGAGTAAGAGTCAATGAAAACTAGTTGGCATGCAGATATGCGAAGGACAGAGAGAGGCTGCATTGGAGCTTGGGCATACGAAATGCAATAAGAGCTCCCCTCCACAGAGGAGACGTCTGGAGGGAGAGACTTATTTACAATCAGCCCTCAACCAATATGGGATGGACTTTTATTTTTAAATTTAACATTTTTATTCCTGATAGACTGTAAGGACATAGCCACAATATTTATAAACACTGTAAGGCTACTTGGGGACTATCTATATCAAGCCTGAAGTCCTCAAATAGAAAAAAGGGGTAGCAGATTAATTAACTATGTTTATCTTTACATTTGAATTCCCAAAACTAACCATATTTTTTAAATAAAAAAAATATCTTCCCCCTTATGTCTTTTAGCAAATAAAAATGTGTTCTCATTTACTCAAGTGTATTTGAATTTGAAACACATAATGCAACAAACAAGGATGTTTTAAAATCTCTGGGCAAGACACATAGTTGCAAATAAAGGAAATTTCAAGAATAGAAATGTGAATAAGGCATTTGATACATGTGTGCCCTCAGAACCTGATAATATATCCTCCCTGATAAGATGAAGATGAAGGAGACAAGTCAGCAGAAGGGGCAAATTATTTGAATAAAACATATATACATATATATTTTTTTCACACACACAAGCTATCGATATAGCTTTACACACACACACATATATATATACAAATGTGTATGTATGTATATGTAGCTTATATATATTTAAATTTGTACTAAAGTATGACACACCTTAAAGAAAGGTTCTTTTTAGTTGCTTTTGCAAACTACTTCTTTAAATTTGTTTTTCCTCAAGAAATAGTTTTCATGCTTTATAAAATATTCTGGAATTGGGGGAGATATTTAGGCGTACTTAACGTTGGCATCAATTCCTGTAGACTCAAGTTCACTGCTGAACGGATAGGTGAATCGGGTCTGTCCTGCCCCAGTGCGGGCTCTTGCAAGAGGTGCAGCCCGCCTCCTACATCCGTGCTCCTGTCCCCACCACCTGCCCCCTGAGCTGCGATAAAGTCCTCGTTATCAAACGGCTCAGTCAAAAAGTCTTTTCTTTTTTAAAACTTTTATTTAATTGTTGTTCAAGTACAGTTCTCTGTCTTTTACTCCCATCCCAGCCCATCCCCCCAGTGCTCCCCACCTCCCTCTCATTTCCACCCCCCTTAGTTTTCATCCATGTGACCTTTATACTTGTTCCTGTAAACCCTTCCCCTTTTCCCCTAAAATTCCCTCCCCTCTCTCTTCTGGTCACTGTCCACCTGTTCTCTATTTCAGTGTCTTTGGTTATATTTTGCTTGCTTGTTTGTTTTGTTGATAGCTTCCTGTTAAAGGTGAGATCATATGGTATTTGTCTTTCACTGCCTGGCTTATTTCACTCAGCATAATGCTTTCTAGTTCCATCCATGCTGTTGCAAAGGGTAGGAGCTCCTTCTTTCTTTCTGCCGCATAGAATTCCATTGGGTAAATGTACCATAGTTCTTTCTTAAAGATGAAGTTTTTAAGGATAATAAGTTTATGTGGCTCATATAAAAATCATTTGCATATAATATTTACATTTTGGAAGTTGCATTAGCTCTTCTGTGTTATAATTAATGAATCCTGTTAGCATGATATAATAGTATTAACATTTTGTCTTATTTCTCAAAAGGAAATTTACCAAAAAGTGCATTTTGAGTGGCTCAGACTTAAAGAAAAATTCACAGGTGGCCATTCTGTCTTTTGACCATAGATTGTGTCTATCAATCAGATTTATTATTTAAAGTCTAAGCTACTGGAATAAGAAATTTAAGCATTAGAGTAATTATCAAAAGCCTATATCCTAATGAATTAAAATACCTTATGGAAAACTCTAGTAAAAAATAAAGTTTTTTTCTCAATTAAAAAAAATTGCCCTTGGAAATGGAGTTGAAGATTGGTGCCAGGATCCGCATCAGCTTTGGGATTTCCCACAGACTTTCCTGAGTCATACCCTTGCTTATATAGCTCAGGGCAATGAAGTGTTGCTCCAGAAATGGATTCAAACTTTTCATTTTCTCAGATGAGATGATCGTTTAGAGCCAGCACAAGAAATAGCCCCAGTTTACTGATAGTCTTCTTCTTGACCCTCTCTCTTCCTCCTACCTGGCTGTTGTACCTCAATACCACACGCCCATTACTCTTCATTTGACATTGTTGCTTCTATTCATGGCTTGGTTCTAACCCTTCTTTCTGCCTAAAAAATTCTTCCACATGATATCTACCTGCTTTATTTCTTCACCCTTTTTAGCACTTACTCAAAGATTACCTTTTTAATGAGGCTTAGTTTTGAATATTCTTGCTACTTCCTGCCCTTTTCCCTGAGCTGAATACTACTTTACTTCCATTGGACAAATGAGCTAATTGAGCCTTAGGTTAAGCAAGTTAGATTGTTCAATTTAATTTGGCTATAATTTTTCTACATTATAATATCCTCCAGCATAATTTTCTACATGTGGACATGCTGGATCCAAAGGTATATGTATTTTCCAATAGTATATATATTTTTGGCTTTGTGTTTTAATAGTGGGGCCACAATACCAGAGGGGAAAATGTGATATGCCATATGAAAATTTGTATTTGCATCATTGTGTTTGACATGGGAGCTGGGCCAACTGTTTCCCCTCAAAATCCATTAGCTGTTTCTTCTTGGCAGAAGTTCCTTAACTTGGTACCTTGGAAGGAAAGCGTCTCTTTACCTTGGGAGGCTGGCTCATGATTTCAGCAGTGGCTGTTAACTTGTGTATACTTTAGCCCCTTCTTGGACTGCTTCAGGAGAAAGGGTGAACTGTGACTACTGTGGCTGAAGGCACATGGAGTGACAATGGCTGTTTGCCCCTACTTTGACACTTAAAAGTGGATAGAGCATCAAACCAAGTGTACTTCATTCCAGTGGTCCCTTCAGACTCCCCTGAAATGTGGGTACTGTTCTGCTGTTGCCAACCTGCTGCTCTCTGACTGCACCCAGAAGGGGCTTTAAAATATGCATGAATTGGATGAAGAGTTACCTGCTTGTTAGTGTCCTTTAAAAACGTTCCCTTAGAAAGTTAAATACACCCTCGTGCTTGATAGATCCTGAATACTTACTCAAAAATGGAAACTCACTTCCATGCCTTTATCACTTAAAATGAATTATTAACCTGACTGATAAGGAAACATTTCTTTTTAACAGTTGGTGGCATCTATACTGTGATTCAGACAAAAGCCAGAGTAACCGCAGATGAGTGGGGAGACAATTATTTCCTGATTGGTCCCTATTTTGAGCACAACATGAAGACTCAGGTGGAACGGTGCGAGCCTGCAAACGAGGCTGTTAGAAGAGCAGTGGAAACGATGAACAAACACGGCTGCCAGGTAAAGGCCCCTGACTGACACCTCAGTTGACAAGTCTTAGCAAACCGGGATGGGAAATCGGGCCATTTACATTAACTCACAAGAGAAGACCTTATTCATCTGCTAAGGAAAAAGGAGCAGGCTTGTGAGAAAGATGATGAACTTGACTTTAAATAAGTACATTTTGAGGCACCTCGTGAAGACCCTCGGAAAATATCTAGTAGTATAATAGGTTTGGAGCTCAGTAGAAGGTATAGGGTAAATATATTTCTAGGGAAGTCATTTGTGTCTAAATTGTGGTTGATGTAATTGGTGTCAATGGCATTATTCAGTGAAATTTTCTGGACTAAGAGCAAAAGTTTTGAGCCAAACCTTGGAATGTCAACGTTAGAACATCTACACTAACAGAAGTCCAAGATGGCAAAAGTATTACTATCTGATAACACAGTGATATAGAACAAAGGATGTCCAGATTCTAATCCTCAAAACCTATGAAAATGTTACCTTATATAGAATAGGACTTTGTGATGTGATTATGTTAAAGATCTTGATATGAGGAAATTGCCCTGGGTTATCTGGGTGGGCCCAGTGTGACCACAGTGCCCTTATAAGAGGAGGCAGTCAAGTCAGAATTGAAGGGGAGATGTGATAATGGACACCGAAGTTGGCACGATGAGCTTTGAGGTGGAGGAAGAGGCCATGAGCCAAGGAATGCAAGTGATCTCTAGAAGCTGAAAAAGACTGGAAAATAGATTCTATTTTAGAGACTGCAGATGGAATGACAGTCTGCTAACGTGTTAATTTTAACCCATAAAACTGATTTCACACTATATCCCCCAAACCTGTAACATAATTAACTTATGTTGTTTTACGCCACTAGGTCTCTTTTTTAAAAAAAAGATTTTATTTATTTATTTTTTAGAGAGAGGAAGAGAAACATCAGTGTGTGGTTGCTTCTTGTGGGCCCCATACTGGAGACCTGGCCTGCAACCAGGCATATGCCCTGACTGGGAATTGAACCAACAACCCTTTGGTTCACAGGCCTGTGACAAATCCGCTGAGCTAAACTAGCCCGGGTTAAGCCACTAGGTTTCTGATGATTTTTGCCATCACAACAGAAATAGTGATGTCAAGACAAGGGAGAAGTGAGTTTCAAGTATGAAAGAGGAACTAAATCAGCCAAGGATTGAAACAGGGTCATTTTGGTTTAGCAACATTAAGGTCACTTGTGGTGTAACCTTGTTAAATATAGTTTCAAAGGAAGGAGAGATTAAATCAGAGTGTAGTGGGTTAAGGGAGGAAGGAAGGAAGGAAGAAATTAATGGTGAATAAAGTGTATAAAAATTGTGGCTATGAGTTTTTCTATAAAAAGGAAAGATAAATAATTTCAGAGTGACATGGTTTTGAGAATTAGTGTTTTATTAAATGTGAGACCTGAGATATGTATATGCCAAGAAGTAGTACCCAGTAGATGGGGAGAAGGTGAACTTTCAGAAGAAATGGATGATTAAAGAAAGCGAGGTCACTGAGAGTGTGAGTGGGAGGATCATTCTCACTTGTGAGAAGATCACGCCTCCCCGCCTTCACTTAAACAGGGCGTACAGGACGAATGCAAATGGAGGGAAGTTAATGCAGAATTCAGTGTGGTCTCATTCAGTGTTTTCTGATGATCTTACTAAAGCAGGAATTAAAGGTCATCTTAGGAAAGTTAGAAGACAAGTGTTAAAATAAAAGCATTTGAAGGAAGAAGTTCTATAAAAGCATTCAACCGATAGATGAAAGGATTCCTGGACCCTTTTGATGCCTAGTTGTGACTTTTTAATGTCACAAACATACACGGCTGTGACTTTCTGCATCAGCAATCAGCGGCCTGAGTGAAAGTACAGAAAGTTGCGCAGAGTCAGTATTGTTTAATCTCAGTATCTGTACAATGGGGCAAATTGGCAAATGTCTTGGGAGTAATTGTGCAATTGACTGAATTAATGGTTGAATTGATGGACAGTCACTTTGAAGAATGTAATAGGATTCAACTTTGAGCTGCTATGCTAGATTACCAAGATAATGTATTTTAGGAAATATATTTAAGATTTCTGGCAGCTACCATATTGGGAAACACTTTCAGTAACATTTTTTTAAATAAGAGGAATAAGAGAAAGCATACACATTTGTCAACAGAAAAAGAAAACCCTTTTTCTGGCAGGAAGTCGTGTTGCATAAAGGAAAATATAGTAAGTGACAGTGGAAATTATATCCAGTTACAAGTTGTTAAAGGTACAGAACCGTTCATCTTATGACTATCATAAAACATACACTGGGAGATTAAATCATAAAACTATGATGAGCTCAAGGTCATAGGATCAATGACATGATCTAGATACTTTTTTTTAAAATGACCACATTTAGTAAGAAGCAAAAACTTGGGGATTTTAGATGAGTGGATGCAAGCCCATTCCATCTCCACACTCCAATACCAGATATTGGAGGTATCAGATATTTGTGTATCACTATGGTTTTCTGTGTAACATATGTTGTTTGCTATTGAGTTCTAAATATAGCTTACATCTTCTGAGCACGAACACCTTTCCTCCCTTCCATTGCCTAGCATGACCACGTGGCTCTGTGTTCTTTGTGCGGCAGGTACATTTCGGAAGATGGCTGATAGAAGGGAGTCCTTACGTGGTGCTCTTCGACATAGGGTATTCGGCTTGGAATCTGGACAGGTGGAAGGGCGACCTCTGGGAAGCATGCAGTGTCGGCATCCCTCATCTCGACCGAGAAGCCAATGACATGCTGATATTTGGATCTTTAACTGCTTGGTTCTTAAAAGAGGTACAGTTTACTGTACAGTCAGACAACAGAACAGTAGCACTATTGAATTCTGGGCCCAGCATTGCCAGGCAATGATCCCATGATCTTCAGATTAAGTGAATTCTGAGATGATGCCATTACTGATTGTCCTAGTCCTTCTCTGAGACAATGCGCAGCATTCCTCCAACTAAATACCAACCTTTAGAAAGGGTAATATTAATGCTTATTTATATGTACATCATGTAACAGAGTATACATTGTGCACTATGTATATGAATTCTAGAACCAAGGGAATAGAAGATAGCCTGAAATATTTGGCTTCTTTATGTACGAATACTTGTGTAACTGCAGGGACTTTTAGATGTTTTCATCACTAGCTCAGGGCTGGTGTGATCCCAGCAGGTGCTAAGGAACTTGCAGGAGTGAAATATCCCATAGATTAAATATTTTTTAAAAAGAATAGTAAAAACTAGTCTTTTTTTAAATGAGCCAAGCCTGCACTCTTCTAAGTCCTCAAAGCATGGCAGTAAGAGTCCTTTGCCTTCTTCGTAGCACCTCAAGATGATGATACCTAACCTAAAATTAGAAGATAAAGACAGAGCACCCCTAGCAAAGTGGGGGTGTGGTCTAAGGACAAGTCCCAGAAGAACTGTATGCTGGGAGTATGCTCCCTTTAGCCAGTCTTTCTTACTGATGAAGTCATATTCCAGTAGCTATAATGGGGTGCCTTGAAGCAAAGGAGAGGATGCAGAAGCCAGCCTATTGCTTTGTGTGGATGACAATAGGAGAAGAAGGGTGAGGGTACCAGTGGATCTGGCCTAATGGCTAACATGAAGTCTTGTTCTAGCATCTGTTAGTGTCAACAACAGATGCTAGAACTGCCTCCCTGCAAACTGCCTCCCTGAGGCACTGCCTCTGGGGCTGAGGCCAGCCTTCCAGGGTGCATGTGTGCATGTGTGTGCACGTCTGCCGACACCCCTTCTGTGAAAGGGAATAGAGTGGAGAGAAGCAGGACAAGAAGAACTCCAGCTTCCTCTAAAGTAAAACAGTTCCAGAAATGCCTATTGCCTTTGGTTTAAAGGGTAAACAAAGACACTGAAAAAGCCTCATGGGTCTTCTGGAGCCACCTGTTTCCGCAGCGCTGCTGCCCTGTGCAACTGCTCATAGCTGTGAAGAACTTTCTGAGGAGCAGATGCTTTAAAACACAGAGGATTTGGCCTAAGTCAGTAGTTTTCAAAGGGTATTTCTCAGACAATCAGTAGCAGCATCACTTGTAAACTTTTAAGAGATGCAAATTCTTGCCTCCCTGCCCAGAACCATTGAATTAAATTACCTGGGAATGGGACCCAGATGTCAATGCTTAACAATCCTTCATGGTGACCTGGTGTATACTAAGTGTGAGCACCGCTCACGCTTGTGAACATGCCACTGAATCCTATAAAACAACGCTTGCTAAATCTGAATGTTTCATATTTAGATCCCTTTAAATTGTGCTAAAATTTACAGGCATAATAACTTTCCTTCTGCTGTGGGCCATGGGCAAGATCAAGCTTCGCCAGCTTTTCTAAATGCTTCTTTTCTGATGTAGGTGACAGACCATGCAGAAGGTAAACATGTCATCGCCCAGTTCCACGAATGGCAGGCTGGAACTGGACTAATCCTTTCTCGAGCCCGGAAACTTCCTATTGCTACAATTTTTACCACTCATGCCACACTGCTTGGGCGGTATCTCTGTGCAGCAAACATTGATTTTTACAACCATCTTGATAAGGTAAATGGTCCTACCACTTTCTCCCTCCCCGCTGTTTTCCCTGATCATTGAAGCTGAAGGATGAACAGTATCGATCTTGACATTTCATCTGCCAGCCACATGGCAGAAATGCCCTTTTAACTAATCAGTATTCATGACAAAGCCACCCCCAGGGTGACAGGGAGCGCATAGAGTTTAGCTTTGTTTAGAGTACAGTGGAGTGGAGCAGTGAGAGACTGTGTGTGTCTACTTTGGGACAATAGATCCAAGATCCAAAATGGCACATTGGGGGATGGGGGGCAGAGATAAAGCTCTGTGACACAAGGCGGGGCTCCTGTCTACCCCGGAGCATGAGAATTGCTATGAGGATCCTGAATCCACACCCAGCTCTGGGTGGCAAGCAAAGAACTGTGATCCTAGACATATAGCTTGCGCCATGAGCCTTACTTCCTCTATTCCAGTGAATGAATGGTCAGGTGTCTTCTGTAACCCTGCCATGTGTAAGTGGAGTTTTTGTTGGGGTCAAATAAGACAGAAGGTATTCAAAAGAAGGATGTGTGTCCTTACGACAAAACAATTATGTCTGCTTATTGAGAAGACTGCCCGATTCTATGATTCAAAGTCATTCAGCTTTGGCTTCTTCCTTCTATTTTCCATTGATTAAATCAGATTAAAGTATGGCTTTTATATCATATGTCAATAATATCAACAAAGCATGCACAAAGAGTCAGACGTTTTGCAGATTTGGTATCTACCTTGCCAATCAAATCAATTTACCATTTTGGGTTTCTGTTTTACTATCAGGAATCCTAGGAAGTTGGAGAGTTGATTTCTAAAGACTTCCCAGTTTTAAAAACTGCTAGGATTCTATGAAACAGAATGTGTGGTTTGCATGTGTCTAAGACACACATTATACTTAGATAACAGTTGTAAAAGTTATCCCACTGCCTTGAAGACACTCTGACACTGAATGCAGGAATGATTTTTCTGACTCACTAACATTTGCAAGGCAATAAAGGGTCCTGATAAATGTTGACCTATGAAAAGGTCAGCTACCAAAAAGGTACACTGTAAACATAGATGTACATTTAAAATAAAGTCACCCAGGGATTCAGAAAGTCAGGAAATCAGGGAAATTTCCCAATGCCATATGATATAGCAATAGACTAATAAGGGCAAACCAGTGATCTGCGATAAGCTCAAAAATCACATTTCCTGGAGAAGAGCAGACTTTAAATTTTGTGAAATAAAAAATATTACAGGCCATATCAAATATTTTACTGCAGAATACTTAGAGCATTATATAATAATTAATAAAAGCAATGAATAATATACATCAGCTATTATTTGCTTTTTATAAATAAATGCATGGTAGTATGGAGTTATTATACATTACAACTTTATCCTCTTGATAAAGGTCAGCTTTTACATCATACAGTCATTAAATAGGGTTATATATCTCCCCAACTTAAAGCCCTTCACTGGCTGAAATATATAAGCATAGTCAGACCGCAGCCCATTGTTCTAATAAAATGTCCTGCCCAGCAGAGTGACTAGTAAATAACAAGTAGTCAAGAACTAGATTTTGAGTTAAACTCATAATCACTTTTTCCAGAACAAATACCTATAATTATTTTCTATACTGGACACTCTTCCCAGGCTCACACTGGGTTTAGAATTGGGGTAACACATAAAAACATCAAATTAAACACATAAAAAGTTTTTAAAAGTTCAACCGAAGAAACGAGTCATCATTTAGTCTTTGATACAACACCCAAGATATGTCTCGGTAAGTTCTGGCTCAGGCAAATAAACATGGAGTGGGGGTGGAGAAATGGGAATAAAAATAAAAGTATTGACTTCTATAAAAGCAGAAAGGTAGAACTATTTTACTCAAATAATAATTGCTAACTAAAAGCATTTTTGCTATTAACCAGTTCACAGGGGTCTTGAAGCTGGTTTCAGGTTTTAAGTTAAATTTATTAGCTAAAATAGGATTTCAACCATTGTTAGCCACCACGTGATTTTTCTGAAATTCTCCAAGATGTTTCCAATTTTTTTCTTGTGAGATAACTAATGCCTATTTTTAAAAGTTTTGTTAGGTTTTTGGCCCCTCTTTCCTTAATAACAATGGAATTTCCCTGATGGAAATGTGAGGTTGGTGCTGTTTGGACCGTGTAGGCAGCCATAGACAACTGTCTGGCGGACTTTACCTCTGTCCTCTGACTGGGTTTTGAATGAGTCGGCTTCAACTACAGAGTTACCCTCTGCTGTTGCTGGACTGTTTTTTAGTGGCTAATATACACTTTACTTCATTCTTTGTTCTTTTATACATCACCCAGAATTCAACAAAAAGGCTGCGAGATGCAGAAAAACCCTGGGCAGCTCAGCTGTGGAAAGAACCAGGCCCAGAGGTGTTTTAGATGTTGGAACTGTCAGACAGAGATTTAACATACTTTCATGAATGTGGGGAAAGGTAGACAACATGTGTAAACAGTCAGGGTTGCTGTGAAGCCACAGGTGTCGCTAGGCATAACACAGGCCTAAAAGGTAAGGGACCCCATGAGACCAGGGACAACAGAATCATGTACAAGTGACTGTCTTCACCAAGACCTGCATCTTTGCACACTTGGTTTACTCACTTAGAAAACCTATTTTCCCACCTCTACATGTTTAAATATTAAATGCTATTCCACATATGAAATAATATTATTAATAGTAGCAATAAATAATAACAATAGCTAAAGTTTCAGAGCCTTTCTATATGCCAGGCACTTTTGTAAATATTTGACAAGCATTACCTCATTTTCTCTTTGCAAAAAGCTCAATGAGATAAGAAAGGTTTCACACTTCAATACAGAGTTATTTTTCTTAAACATAGTCTGTGCCTTCATCACTGCACAAGCCCATTCAGTCTTTCCATTGTATACAGGACAAAGGCTAAATTCCTAGCCTTGTTGTCAGGGAGTTCTAGGCCCTGAATCTATTATATCCTACCAGGATACTGACTTACTACATCTCTTACATTCTACACTCAAAGCCATCCTCACATCATACATGTTGGTATTCTCTGCACATATAAGATTTTATATATAAAATTGGGTTGACCAAAAAGCCTGTTTTTTTCCACAAAATATAAGACATGTTTTTTTTCATTTTCACCAAGAACTATTAATTTGGATATTTTGAGGAATTCAGCTATCTCCCACATCTACAATCTATAATCAATTGGTATAACATTGATCTCAATTAATGTCTTGATTTGATTGCTAACAACTACAGCCAACCATGGAGCATCATCCAGCAAGAAATCTCCTGCACAAAACTTTGCAAACCACTTTTGACATGTTCGATTAGTCATGGCACCTTCTCTATACATTGCACAAATCAATGTATAGATTGATACAAATACAAATCATTTTTGCATTTCAGTTGCATTTTTACCTTTCTTGAAATAATAAAGCATAATATGCTGCAAATGTTCCATTTTCTTCCATCTTCAATATTAAAATGGCTACACAAAAATTCACAAATTTTGATAATTTCTATATGCATGCTGATACATCAGCCATCACAATACAATCTAACAAAATTGTTTTGAATGAAGTTAAAGACAACTAAGAGCTACTAGAGACATCTTACAGAAAAAAATAAATGAACTTTTTAGCCAACCCAATACTTATTCCTTAGGGCAACTGATTTTTCGGCCTCAAATAACCTTTCCTCAAATTAAACTTCCATGTCCAAGTCCAAATACCATTTTAGTCATCTAATTAACTTGGAGATATAAAGATGAACAACTCATGGTTCTCTTGCACAGTAGGGGATCATTTTCCTGTCCTGTTCTGATTTTATACCTTATTTGGGCACTTCTTCATTTCTGCTTAATTGTTACCCACTTTCTCACTAATTTATAAGCTCTTTGAAGATAAGAGAAACATATGAATTACTTAATAAATAATGGTTGATTGAGAGAGTTGGTTGAATAAATGAGACCAGCCATATAAAGCTTTGAAGAAAAACTTGTACTGATGTAGGCATACCTCATAGAGACCTCATTCAAACATTATCAGAGAGAGAGTTCCAAAATGATAGCCAGTCAAGAAAGAATATTCTAAGAGTTTCTTTGTTCTAATCTTTAGAAACAACTGATAAATCTTCTTTTTAGTATTTTCCCCTGTGTGAGGTAGTAATTTGGGGGACTGACTTATTGATCCAGTGAGAGTCTAAATGGTATAAAAGCAGGTGAAAGCACAGCCTTGGAGTCAGACTGGTTTGGATCAGTTTCGGGCTCTGCTAAGATGCGTGATAGGAATGTGACCTCGAGAAAGTTCTTTAACCTTTAAAAGTTTCAATTCCTCCTCCTTAAAATGAAGACAAAATGTGTGTTGGTGGTTTATGAGGATTAAATATCCTGCTTAGACGAGTAACTGATACATAGTGTTGAAAAACCTCTCACATGAAAAGTGTGTGGCTGACACCACGCCACCCACTATACAGTCCTCTCCCTTAGACGCTGCTGCTTTCATCTGCAGCTGAGACAGTACCTGCAATAACAAGACACATGGCAAAAGCTCACACCTCTTGCCAACTATTTAGGTGTGGGGTTTAGCTTATGGTATGTTTTTTTTAAGTTAAGACACCCAGAATAATGAATGATTGCACAATCTAACACACTATCTAATTAAAGTAACTTTACACTCTTGAAATTATATATTGGTAGGATTTCCATAACCTTGGAAAAGCATTTGTTTTCTCTGCCAGGTTCCCTTTCAGGGAATTAAGGATAATAATAATTATCTTTATTTTTGCTATCAAGCTTAATTCAGCTTTATTTCATTGTTTATGGGCAAAAATATGATAAGGACCTCAAGGAAAGAAATTAGGTCAATATTTATAAAATGTGGGATAAAACTAAAATGCCCCCAAAATGGGGCATTTCCATGTGATTATAACAGAGTAGAAATACATTCACACAGAGGGTTAAACAGCAGTTGTAAAGCAAAAATGAAGTAAACAGCACCTTTTAATGCACGAGTAGCTATGTACTTAGTAATGGGTTTAATAACCATTATCATTCCTTTTAGTGGCCATTCAATTTTACATGGCCTTGTGCACGGGAACACAATAGGAGAAATATGTGATTTCGTTTTGCTTGTGTGGAAGAATCCGTGTAAGCAAATGGATCTGTGCTTGTTTTGTGTTTGGTTTTGAACAGTTTAACATAGACAAAGAGGCCGGGGAGAGGCAGATCTACCACCGCTACTGCATGGAGCGGGCTGCGGTCCACTGCGCCCATGTGTTCGCCACGGTTTCCGAAATAACAGGGATAGAGGCGGAACACATGCTGAAGAGAAAGCCTGGTAATTGTCAGCCCTGAGATTGTCACTGGTCTTTCAGTTAAATGACATGAGAGTGTGAGAATGTTGTTTAAAACAAAGAAAAAAAGCATAAAACTGTTGAGGGGGAAACGGTTTTGCCTCTGAAAATGCAGATAAGAGCACCTACTCCATTGGTTGTTACAAGGATTAAATGAGCTGCATTGTGGAGTGTTTAGAGAAGCACCTGGCGCACAGTAAGGAGTGAAACTATAATAATCGTTATTATTGCTTTTAATTATACTATGTCATTTTATACCAAGGTTATTTCAGTCAGGTAGGTACTCCTGATTTTCTACCTCAACAATTTATTGTGAAAATGTATACATTTTGAAGTCTATGATAGTCATAAACTAGGAATGGTAACGAAAGTCTAACTTTATACATTTAAATATACGGTTTTTCTACCATGGTACCTGCTTTCAGAAGAGCATTTTCATGAAGTTCTCATTTTTGCTTTCCCAGATGTAATTACTCCAAATGGCTTGAATGTTAAGAAATTTTCGGCAGTTCATGAGTTTCAAAATCTGCATGCAATGTACAAGGCTAGGATACAAGATTTTGTTCGAGGTCATTTTTATGGGTATGTTGACTGTGGGGCTGGTGTACAGGGTGGATGGATGTGGAAGAGGGTATAAGGGTGATCAAGGGTCGTGGATAAAATACAATGAATAAAAAAGAATATTCTTAAAAAAACAAATCAGCATGTGAGTTTAGTGATCTCTAGTAAAGAGAACACAATATTGTTATACTACATGTTTACCTTCCCCAGTCCCCATTGCACTGTAACAGAATTCATGCGTATGTTTTGTTGCTTGTGCTTTATTTATTTTGAACTGTTTTATTTTGTTTTAGTCATCTGGACTTCGATCTTGAGAAGACTTTGTTCCTTTTCATTGCTGGGAGGTACGAGTTTTCAAACAAAGGAGCTGACATCTTCCTAGAGTCCCTATCCAGGCTAAATTTTCTGCTGAGGGTAAGAAAGCTCGAAGATGCTATATGGTGCTTCTGTAGGCTTTCTTCTGGGGGCAGTGAAGAACTTTCGGCCTCCTTAAATAGTTTTCATGAGAACATACGATTTGGAAGATTTAAAGTGACAGCTGTGTAAAAATGGCTTTGATCTTTTAATTTACATATTGGGCTTGCTACATTGTTCACTTGTGTATTTGTCTATGTCCTTAGTTATATTTTTAGGAGAACCACAAGCCTATCCCATGGTATGTGCTATATTTTAAAACAACATTATAATATTCCCCCCAAATGAATTTGTAACTGCTTGAAAAATAAATACAGAGAAATCAAGCAAATGGAGAACAAAATTTTACCTTTTCAGTAACTGATAAGGGCTAACCATGGAATCTGTGGCTCAGACATATGGCAACAACAGGCCTCCTGATGCTACACTTTGGTGTTGACTTAGCTGTGACATCACAGGCAGCTCTGGCCATCGCCGTCCTGCTGCAAGGGAAGCAGACCCTGGGCGAACACGCACCGTAGGTTGATGGCCAAGCAGCCGTCCTCTGCAGAAGGACGCAGATGCACACAAACTCTGTTCCTCACCCACCTCAACAGCCACGCCTCCTCCCCTCGACTGAGAGTCTTGAACTATGAAAGCAGATGACCAACCACATAGAAACAGGAAGATAGGGAAAGGAGGTCCCCACTCCCAACAATGAAGAATAATTTTTTTGCTCAGAAAGGCGGGACTTAAAATAGGTTCCCAACTAATTAAGGAAAAAGATTTTTTTTAAACCTGTTCCAATAGAAAAAACTATAAAAATGGTACCATGTCAATTTATTGATTAAAGTTATTGGCTTATATTATAATCCTATCACATACAATGTAGACTAAATAACAGTAAAATGCTCACAGGGGACCAGTGTAAAATTTTGATCTTATTTTCAATCTTCAGTGCTCAGTCTAAACTTTCCTGAGCTTTGTAATACTCCCCAACCAAATTTTTACTTCCTGGACATAGATTTCTCAGAGCAGACATTGTGGCAAGTGTGCCAAAAGATTTATAGAAACCACATTCAGAAGGAAGAGGTACATTAATAAAAACCCAAGTCTGCAAAATAAAACTGAAGACCAGAAAGACTATTCCAGAATAAGCTGGAATAATCTTACTTTAGCATAGTTTCCTTTACAAAGATATAAGTTTATTTTTCCTAGAATCTTATATAATTGAACTCGTAAGGTTTTTACTCTTTTCCCCCGGGGTTCCCTTGTGCAGAGTATTCATTCTGAGATTCATCGAAGGTGCTTATATGTGTTCATTCCTTTTATATTGCCGAGAAGTATGATATTTTATAGCGATACCACTTTGTTTACTTATTCACCACTGTTTGTGGATATTTGGGTTGTTTCCAGTTTTGAGTTGTTGAAAAATGAAACTGTTACTTAGATTTTAATGCAAAAAGTTTTTCTAGGAAGTATGCAGGTTTCCTGGGGGACCCCTCCCCACAGCCCATCAGCTTGGCACAGATTCTGGAGCCCTTAAAAAAACTGTTATTTAAATCTTATTTCATCACATTTCTTAGTATGCTTCTTACTATTCGACAAACTTTATAGATGTACTCCCAACTACATCAAATATATATTATATTTAGGTACATTATTAACCAATTTATTCATACATTTATTAAATATTCACTTCATTTTTAGATATGAAGAAACAGCCAATTAATATTATTCCACATATCAGAGATAGTTATGTCCCTGGAGAAATGAAAAGATGTTATTCTCTTTCCGTATGGTACATTTGTTCTTTAAGAACACATCAGCTGCTCCTGGAGTGAGTTTCCTATTCTATGGCTTCCATAGACTTTTCAGTTGCTTGTGAGGCCTAGAGGGCAGAGGCCACTGATTAGGTGGTAAAATGCCCCCCACTCAAGAGATAGTCATTTCCAGAAGACATGGGCATTCATTCATCTGTTCATGGTTTAAGTGAGTTTACACTTTCATGCCCATGGTTCTTTGGTATGTCATTTCTGTCTGAGAGATGCTAGGCTAGTGGTATTTGTGGGAAGAAAAACCCCATAGATTTTAGAGTCAAAAACCCCAGTGAGAATCTCACCCCTTATAACAGTAATATCTTATAAGGGCTGAGACTCCTATATTGAGCCTCCCTGGCTCTCTTTTGACCTTGGTAAATCAAGTGGTATCTATTGTGAAGGGTTTTTGAGAGGATTGGGTTAACTTATGCATTTAAAGCACACAGCATGGTTCCTGCCACAACAAATCAGCTAAGCATATGCTTGCTTCTTCACCTTAGGACTGAAAAAATAAAATGCAATATCAAAAGAATCAAGATATGTGACAGAACACACACTGGAATAAAGAACAATCTGATAATCAGAGGGGAAGGGGATGGGAAGGGTCAACAAGGAACATGGATAAAGGACACATGGACAAAGCCAAAGGAGGGCAGGACCGAGGGTGGGAGGTGGGGATGGCAGGGGCAAAGGGGAGTGCTGGGGGGGAAATGGAGACAACTGTACTTGAACAACAATGAAACAAAGTTTAAAAAGATAAATAAAAATAGAGAGGCTGTTTCTTTTTAGAAGTCTATTGCTCTAAATACTGAAGGTCACCATAAGAACATCTGAATATAAGTCATTTATGACTTCTAAAACAATACTTCTCAAGGTAATGTGTAATTAACTGACCCTAAATAAACAACCTGTGCAAATCAGAAAAATAAAAAATAAAAATAAGAAGACGTCACAGAAAAATGTAAATAATCTTTTGTAGAAATCAATGTGTATAAGCGAAGAAAAAAATAGAATAAACCAAAACTAAATCCTCATTAAGTTTCCAATCTGAAATTTTAAAGAATGAATTTTGACCCTTTATTAGCTCATATAAATGTGAGCTAATATTACACAAAAGATTGTGGTATCAATGTTAATTGCTTATATTTTAGACAATTGATGCCATAAAATATTGCATCTGAATTTTCAAATTGTTAATCAATAAACATCTATTGAAAGCCCAATTTAAACTTAAATTTCTGAAAAAACCTCAGGAACGTGGGTACAATTTCTCTGTGAATCATAAACAGTATTCTTTTTTCTGAAGATATTTTAAATGCTTTTCTACAAAGTTTAAGGTCCATCTGTCAAACGTTTTATTTTACCTTGGGTCATTGACTCTTTTGTGTTTTCTGATCCCTCGCTAGATGCATAAGAGTGACGTCACAGTGGTGGTGTTTTTCATTATGCCTGCCCAGACAAACAATTTCAACGTGGAAACCCTGAAAGGCCAGGCGGTGCGAAAACAGCTATGGTAACTTCACCTCTTGTTCTCCAGCAGTAAATACAAAGGGTTACTCTTACGTGCATGATTTCTGTTGTATATCCCTGAGCTACTTTTTCCTTAAGATTTGCATAGCATAAATGCTCTTTGGTTCTCTTCCCATTGGGCTACTGTATTAGGTCATGCAATGCCTATACATACGTGTTACTATAACGACTTTGGAAAGAACTACCATACAAGGATAAAGCCTCCGTAAAAATCTTTAAGGATGGGTTGCATATGTCAGAAAAAAATATTGTAGAAATACAAAAACATATAAGTAAAGAGATTAGTATGATGACCTCTTACATGCTCACAGCCCATATTCAACAATCATCAACATATTCCCAATCCTACTACATCTATACCTATAGCCATGCCCCCTCCTGGCCCTCCACCTTTTTCTGAATATTATCAAGAAAAAAATGTTAAGCTCTGTGGGCTGGTCAGGGTGTTCTGCTGCCTCAGCTGTGGAGTATTTAACTCAAGCTAAATTGGTAAATAAGAAAATAATAAAAGAAGCTATACAAAAGAGACCTGTAATTGCAAAAATGCACTAGCAAAACAACAACATTTTCATGACAGGTAAAGATTTTAAATTGCCACATTGTTTAAATTATAAACCCTTCCCCCCCACCCCCATACAGGGACATTGCTCATTCTGTGAAGGAAAAGTTTGGAAAGAAACTCTATGATGCCTTATTAAGGTAGGTGTGTCGAACATTTAACAAGCCAGATATTTGGGGTGTGGCTATTCAAACTTAATTTCAGTGCTACAATGTATTTTTTGTTCCAAATATAAAGAAATTAGTAACCTTTAAAGATATGCTGCCTCATGTCACTAGGTTTTCTTTTATCCTTCATCTAATATGCATATATGCAGATGGGTTCTAATTCAATGAGAATCTTGTTCAATGTTAATATGCCAACTTGAAGCTGAGGAAGAGTTCATGAGATTTTAAAGCAAAATATAGAGTGACTTGATATGTTAAAATAATTACTTACATATTAAATTAGCATGTATTAACAAATGAAATATAATAAATAACAAATGAAATGTATATCTTTATAGATACAATAAAGTCTAAATAATAAAATCAAATTGGAATGTATTATAATATAATAATATTAAAATATATGAATTTTGCTATATAAAGAGAAAGCTATTTTGCCTCCTGACCCATGGTGGAAGGTGAGTATTATATCTTTTTATCAATGAAAGTATCAACTTATCGATGGCCAAGTTATGGCCATTTTAGAACATAATACTCAGAACTAGCCAAAACATGATGAAAGTGTGCCCCTGGTGGCTAACATGAATGCTTTAAAAGTTCATTTTGATTTTTTTATGCTATCAGATGTGGTTTGTTTTTTTTTAATCAAACTTATTCACACTTTAGGGAATTGCCTGTGAGACTCATTAGGAAACTACATTTACTTTTATTTTTAAGTGCTTAGAACAGTGTCTGACACACACAAAGTGCAGAATTACTGTCAGTTGTTTTTATTTTTATTAACATTGTTTTCCCTACAGAGGAGAAATTCCTGATATGAATGATATTTTTGATCGAGATGATCTAACAATTATGAAAAGAGCCATCTTTTCAACTCAGGTAGTAAAAAAGTGCCTACCACTTCCCGTAATTGTTAAATCAATTTAGATCAATATTTTAATGTATTGGTAGATACAGGAAGGTAATGTAATATAATGTACAGGAATTAGAAAGTCATTCTTATGTATTGATCTAAATGACAACTTTGTATTCGGGGTTTTCAGGGTTCTTTTTTAAAATCTCACTGACCCTGTCTTTGTATACAATTTAAAATTTTCACTGGATACTTACTTTGCGGGGGGGTGGATACCAGAGCCCCAGAGGTGGTTTTCCAAGGGCAAGCCAGACATTGCAGTCTGGGTGCACTGACCCCTGTGATTTCCCCAAATGTGAAAAACTCAACTGAGTGATTTGTGGTAGTGGGGGACTGAGTTTACCTTCTTGCCTGGCACACACACACAAAAAAATTCATTTGGACACATTACATCCAATTGAAAAGCTGTGTACATTGCAATGACAACAAAAACTTAAATTTCTCAAAAAACGCAAAATTTTGAGTTATAATAGAGAAAAGGTGAATGTATCCCAGGCAAGTGTAATTATTGCAAAATATTGTATTGTGTTGTATTGCAAGTGTTGTGTTAGGCATATACCAAAATCTTGTCATTAGTGAAGGTTCAGGCACCAGAGGACAGCCCCACTGGAAAGATCCAAAAGAGTAGTTCATCTTGGGTCAAGATGTCAGGATACTTTTATTCCAAATAAATCCCAGAAGCAGGCAAGAGGTCTTGGCCTTGCATATGTGTTTGCCATAGTATCTGAGGGAATTATCCTTCAACCCGCCATCCTCCTCCAAAACACACAAAACTTAGTCATCATCATTAGTGTCATCTCAAAAGACTGAAGGCAAAACGGTTGGATGACTTGTTACTGATGACCATTGTTGAAATTAGTCACACATTAATTCTTTCCACAACTGACATTTTCCTCCGTCGCTTCAGCGACAGTCTTTGCCGCCAGTGACCACTCACAACATGATGGATGACTCCACGGACCCCATCCTCAGCACCATCAGACGGATTGGGCTCTTCAACAACCGCACGGACAGGGTCAAGGTAGAGCTAGCTGTTTACGTAGGCCCCTTCACAATGATACGGAATAAATTTACTAATAATTTATTAAAAGCCTCACTTATTTGCTTTAACATCTATCAAAAATATTTTAAATATTTCTAAAGAAAATTAATGTTGTCTCCTGTCTTGGGTAATTTAAGCATGATGACTATTTTTATATCATTCTTAAGAATTGAAGAATATTTGTGGCTTTGAGTCATAATTCTAGCATTTATTTTCACTGAATAATGTGTCAGTAAGCATAATATTATCTAAGTTGTAATAACTTAATTTTTTTCTAAGAATAATTTCATTAACAAATCCCTGAGATTACACAAATCATTTTTTGTTTCTTTCTGATTAAGTTTGACTTAAAGGGAAAATGAGAATCTTCCAGTTTTAGAGAATGTAGCTAGTGAGATTTTTATGTAATTTTCTATAGTCTAATTCAAATTGACTCTTGATTTCTACAATGACTAGGCCCCTTGTTAGCTGCATACATAAGACCTGGTTTCTGTCACTCTATGATGTTTACTGAGGGCCCATTATACCAGGCATTTGCTAGGTGTGGCTGGCAACGGTGAACATGTCAACACATAATTGCTTAATACTACTCAATTTTGTTCACCAGTGTTCAAGATCAAGGTGTCACAAGCCTTCACCAATCCTTTCAAAGGTCCCCCTTTCCCCTCTCTCTTTCATCATTAGCAGATGACCTAACTGAGAATTTAAAAAGTACAAACTCCTCAGTGTCCCTCCAGACTGGCCTCAAATCTAGATTTTTCACCTATTCTTGCTTCTTTTCCTTGAGGACCAAAGGGTTTTTATAGGATCCCATTCCCTCCCACATTTCTTGAAACTTGCCATTTACCTTCTCTTACTCTGTAGGCAATACAAGACAACTCTTTTCCTTGCTGTCTACATATAATCTTTGAATTTCTCCACATTAGAAAACAGCTTTTCCTTAACCCTGCCTCCTTTCGATGTTCTTAAATGTTTCTGTCCTTCCCACTCTGCAAAATTTCTTGAAAAAATAGTCCATTCTTAAATTTAGTTTTTATCTTGTTTTTAGTCCTAAATATAGGCATGGGTGAATGTAGTGGAAGGAGACAAAATAAGGACTTACTGCAACAGTACAGGTGAGAGATGATGAAGGCCCCTTAGAGAAGCATGTCAAATGTACTGGAGAGGACAAAACAGGGGAAAGGACAGTTACATGGAGGACAAAAATCACACTTAGTGACCAATGGGCATTAGGAGTGAGAAAGAGAAAGACGGCAAGGATAATGCCCTGTTGGCTTTAGTATCTAACTAATACTTTCTAAAAACTAAGGAAAGGCTTTAACGGAAGTTGGTTTGAGGGTCATGTCATGAATTGGGTTCAGTTTATTTAAAGATTTTGTATATTTTTTAGAGATGATGAAGGGAGGGAAGAAAAGAGGGAGAGAAACATTGATCAGCTGCATTTTGCACCCCCCCCCAACCAGGGACCTGGCCCGAAACTCTGGCCCTGAGCCACAGTCAAACCGGCGCCCTTTCAGCTTTCAGGCCAGCATTCACCCCACTGAGCCACACCAGCAGGGCATGTTCTATTTTTGATAGAATGAGTTTGAGTTATGTGTGAGGTATTGAAGTTGAGATGTTGAATAGTTACTTAGAAAACACAGTCCTGAAAGAGCTATCAGTGCATGAACAGTAGTGGAGACTAAGGAATGACCACCCGCCTCGCTGGAAGACCAGGTTGAATGAATGCAGAGACATGTTGACACAAAGAAACCTAGATTTAAGAGGGGGATTAAAAGATAAGTCAGGGAAAGAAAGACAGAGCAGACAATTAGAAGAGAAAAATGTAGAAATCAAGCAGAAGAAATGTTCTTGATAGTAAGAGGAGCTCATAGTACAGCATTAAATGATACAAGCAATTTATAAAATGTGCACATGTGTATATATGTGGGTATTGCCCTGGGCCATAGAATTGTGGGTGGTTTGTATTTCCTCATTCATATTTCTGCATCTTAAAAGTTTTCAACACCTAACACACTTCCTATAACAAATAGGCTACAGAATTTTTCCTGGAAATGCAGGAATGTCTCTGCCAAGGATGCACCTTTCTTTACGTTTTTCAGCGGGACTGGGTCCACAGAGACTCATCACAGAGTGTATTAACAGCAACTTGGTCTCCTTCTCACTTCATTTATTTATATATTTTTGTCTCTTGGAAGGGTAATAGTGGGGACCAGAAAGCCTCTTACTCTCTGGTAGACTTCTGTCTTTCTCAGAACTTTTCATGTCATACCACATCTGTGGGGCTTCCTTTGACAATCCGTCTGCACCTGGCACATGTTATGTACAGTAAGTACAGATGGAAGTGGGGTGTGGGAGGGCAGGAAAAGGAGAGGTGAGGCTGGATTCCGTCGTTCTTGGGAGGACCGTGCCTGGAGGTGCCTTGACGTTTTGAACACAGTATGCTTTGCTGATCCATGTTTTCCAAGAAAGGTAACAGTAAGGCGATTTTCCAGAAATGGACAAGAACCTCATTTTCTGAACATATTAAACACTTTGTATCCCTATGTCATTGCTAATGAATGCTCTTTTCTCTTTATGACATACCCTCATCTTGGTCATTCTAACGACTCCTTTGGGATCCAACCTAAAGGCATCTCTTCCTTGCCCTTTTCCTTACTATACACTCATCTGCTTCAGACTAAACAATTGTTTCCTTATCTGCATTCCCCAGACACTTCCTATCTACTGCCGTTATAGGAATGGTCACATTGAGTTATGTACATAATTTTAAATGTGTCCATTTCTCCAGAGAGACTGTGAGTTCTTTGAGGCAGTGATCATGTCTCCTATTTTTTTCTGTTTTCATCCTGAGAAGCAGACACTAGGACAGGAGTAGATATGAAAATGCTTATTGGTGGAAATGCTGTGGAGGATAAAGAGGGGAGGCCTGAGCAGGCAGGGAGGTGCAGTCAGCCTGTGAAGAGGGCAGGAAGGAAGGATGGGGTAAGGAGAGCCAGAGACTACAGCCCCGTTCTAAAACAGGCTCAGCTTTTTTTTTTAGAAAGGAAAGTCAAAGGTAATTTTTAAAAATCCTAGGATTCATAATAATAAACAAATACATGAAAATATGAACAGGTAGCCAGATAATTTGGTGACTCACAAAGGGGGAAAAGCAGTGGACCAAGACTCAGCATGGCTTGTTAGTGGAAAAACACACACAGGCATGTGTGTGTACACAGAAACAAACAAGAAAAAAATAGTTTCAATGGCTAACACAAATTCAGTATCATTTTACTATGTTTTTTCCTTAATGTAAAAGATGCTTCTTTGTGCGTTGTTGTTTGCTGTTGACTTAATTTTAATATATGAGTGTTACTACGTACAACATTTTGCTGTATTTAACAGCCTTTTCTTTATGTTTTACTTTCATGTGTATCTTTCACGGACCAAAAGTTTCAAGTTGGCAAGCAAATGGCTGCCTCATTCTATGAGAAGTTGGCTGCCACATCTCTAAGGAAGCCAACACACCAGTCCTTAAAGACTGTACTTACGATGTCTGGCTTTGAATCTCTGCCACTTATTTAATTATAAATTTAGTTAGTCTGTCTACCACGCCTCAATCCTCTCATCTGTAAAATGATAATAAAAGGGGCCCACAGTTATAGAACTGTTGTGGGATTTAAAAAGTGATAGATGGTGCATTTGCTACAATATGGCACATGGCGAATGCATGATACAGGTTAGCTTTTAGTTGTCCTTAGTTCAGTAACAGCACAGGGTGGATACTTAATAACATTTAGGGTTGGGTGAGAGTAGAAGAAGGAATATTTGTGTTCCTGCAAGATTTGATACACTGTTTTATAAAAGAGATGACATATCAGCTAGATCTAGATCAAGGAGCAGTTCATCATGCAAATAACCAGAAGGGAGGCTCACCAGGCGGGAGCAGCAGATGAACTGGCACACATGTGCAGTGGCTCATGGCTTATGTAGAGTGAAGGGAGGAGGAAGTTCATCTCATACAAATTATTTATGCAGTTAAACCCATAAACATTTTGAGATATTCATTTATTATTATAAAGCAAACACATGCAAAAGAAGTAGAAGAATAATCTCTTTCTAACAATATATACCCAAAGCTGTAAGTCCTATTTGATTGCCTGTATATTTAACAGAACTCTCTGGAGTAGTTCTTAACTTTCAGAGTGAATTGATGAGTTTTCTGTGTAAGTGGGACCGTTCTATTCAGGAAACATGGCAGATTATTTTTACTTTGAATGTATCTTCTATCAGCACTGTGTTATAGTTGAGAAAAGCCTGGCCTGCCCATTGCAGTTCTCCACCCTGGGCTGACACTCTGAGGAAGTAACTCACTTCCTGGGACCTTACTTACTTCCCTCCTCGGAATAAACACAGTCAAACACGTGTTTGTTCCTTTGTTTTTCCTACTGATCCAGGGCTTGCTAAGGGCCAGGTGCTGTGCTAGGGGCTTTTGAACACAGGATCTCATCTAATCCTCCCTGTAGCATTGGGCTGACCTCTAATACCATTTCTTCCACCTTGGGCTTCTCCAGTTGGCTGTTTTAGGGCCCAGAGCAGCTGTCTTTTTATTTTAGTCGCTTGATTCATTATGTTTGGCTGGGAATGAAACAAATGAGCTGTGGTGTTTTCATGTTCCGAAATGGGCTTTGGAGAGTACAAATTTTCCTAAATGTGGAAATGCCAAATAGGCACAGTGCCTTCTAAGTCCCCCTTTCTTGATATTTGTCAAACGAGTATAATGGGCTGTTAATTTGATGGTTGCCCAGACAGCTGTACCTGTGCCTTTTGTCTATTTTCTTGGGGTGGTACTGTGCACATAATAGGAATTCAGATCATGCTTTCTAGAGGAAAATATCTTACCCATTTTTACTTTGCCAATGTGTGATTCCTGTGTTTGAGAAAATCGTTTTTATGATACTGGTTGTGGACATTTATTATTTTATTTCTTCTTAAGTTTAACATATCTCCTATTTATGAATCTACTGATATATACAAAACTAATGCCTATAAAGTCTTAGTTTCCTTATTTCTAAAATTAGGACAACAATGTTCATTTTACTCATCTCACAATGTTGCTAAGATGAAATAGGGCAATATATGTGAAAATTATTTTTAATATATAAAGCATTATAAACAACTAATTACTACTGTTGTAATATATCCAAATTAAGTAATCTCTTTGGAAGAATATACACTTATTTTGTGAATAAACAATAAAAGGTGTAGTGTGCTTGTTAAAACGAAGTTTCTTTTTCTTCTCCTCTTCCTCTCCCTCTTTCTCTTTTCCTTTCCCCTCCCAAACAATCCAGTCTTAGAGCCATTAGGTGGGGCAACATGGGTAAGTGTCTGCACTGGAAGGAGGAGTGCACTACAACAGTGCAGAGAAAGACGTCTGAGCCCAGACAGTGGGGCGGGTGCACACAGAGGGAGCAGCCCTGCTGTGGAGTCAGTGTGTAGTGAGGCCGTGTTTATGTACTGATGGAGCGGCAGTGGAGGAAGATGAGTCCAATGGAGGGCAATTGTGTTAGTCTGCTAGGGCTGCTGGCAGAATATGACAGAATGGGTGGGGAAGGTATTTTTGATAATGGAAAAATATTTTCTCATATTTTTGTGTCACTCATAATGTAATGACTACAGACACAACACCCATTTAAATTTAATCTGCATTATTAACTTTTCTCTACCACTTCCTTAAATCTATACAATCAGTTTATAATCATATGTAGTGTGTAGTGTTCACCTATTTTCACTCCATAAATACTCCAGCATGCCAATTTCATGCTACCAATGAGATATCACTGATCTGGAGATAGGAAGGGCAGTAGTATTTATTAGAGATTTATTTATCACCTTCTCCCAAACAATTGCCAGATGGGTGGCTTATAAACAAGAGATATTCATGTCTCACAATTCTATAAGCTGGGAAGTCCAAAGTCAAGTTGCCAACATGATTGAGTTCTGGTGAGACTCCTCCTGGAGTCTCCTGGTTCATAGGTGGCAACTTCTTGCTGTGTCCTCAAATGGGGCAATGGGCTAGGGATCTCTCCCCCTGTTATAAGGCACTAATGTATATAATGCATAATATATACTATATAGTAATATATTGTTATGTATAAAATAATGAAATAAAAATTTAAAGATAAAATAAAATAATAAAATATAAATTTATTATCTTATATTAAGCATATTATTATACTATATATTATATCACTGATTACATTATTTAATTACATATTATAGTAAGTATATGGTCATGTTATATAATATATATTATATTATATTGCCATATATAATAACCCCAGTACTATAAAATCATATTTTATTTATTTATTTTAAGATTTTATTTATTTAATTTTAGAGAGGGGAAGGGAGAAAGAGAGGGAGAGAAACATCAATGTGTGGTTGCCTCTCACATGCCCCCCTACTGGGGACCTGGCCTGCAACTCAGGCATGTGCTCTGACTGGGAATCAAACCAGCAGCCTTTTGGTTCTCAGGCCTGCGCTCAATCCACTGAGCTATGCCAGCCAGGGCCATATTTTATTTATTTTATTTATTTTAATAACTACTTAGACATGAGGGGAGGCTGACAGCTAACCTAATAATAGTTCAGTGAGAACCTGAATGAGTGGAAGAATAGGAGAACTCTTTCCTGCAGGTGACCAGCAAAGCAGCTTTTCCAGTGATGACTTCCCAAGCACAACCATGCGGTCCAGTTTCTGCCTTAGCAGAACATTGCAGACAGTGCAGCCCCAGAACAGGCTGACATACACGGACGAGAGACAACTGTTAAATGTTTTTGGCTAGTTTTATACATAGCCATTGGTTAAAATTAAACTGTAAATGTAAAAATTCATTATAGTAAAAAGAACAGTAATTGCCGAAACACATCACATCCTAATCATTTACTACATTTTACCATTACCTATGCCCTTAGGGTAATTTATGATTATTGAACCCACATGGTGAAAATACTCTCTAATAAATAGGTGAACACTACGCATTACATATGATTATAAACTGATTGTATAGATTTAAGGAAGTGGTAGAGAAAAGTTAATAATGCAGATTAAATTTAAATGGGTGTTGTGTCTGTAGTCATTACATTATGAGTGACACAAAAATATGAGAAAATATTTTTCCATTATCAAAAATATCCAACTCAGCAAAGAAATCACTCATGTCATTGATAAACCTGTGAATGTCTGACATACATCTCTGTATTTCACTCTTCCCTTTGCTTCTTAACAAAGAAGTCAACCAAAATTTATGTTAGAACTATATTTAGTCATCGGTTGGAACCATAAGTCAGTACTAAGTACAAGATTGTCTCAAAAATCAACAAAAGTATTATGTTATAATTGGCATGGAGTTTATAATAATGAGTATTATGTAATTTAATAGACCTTATTTTTTAGTTTTAGCTCCACAGCAAAACTGAGCACAGAGTAGAGAGTTCTAGTAGATCACCTTCCCCCAAACATGCACAACCTCCTCCACTCTCAGCCCCACCACAGTGATAACACTTGTCATGATGAACCTACGTTGACATGCCATTATCACCAAAGGTCCATAGTTTACATTAGTGTTCACCACTGGCGTTGTACCTTCTAAGTGTTTTCATAAGTATGGAATGACATGTAATCACCTACAGTATCATACAGAATAGTTCACTGCCCTAACAGTCTTCTGTGTCCTATTTATTTCTCTCTGCCTCCAACCCTTAGTAACCACTGATTTTTTCCTGTCTCCATAGTTTTGCCTTTTCTACACTCTGATATAGTTGGAAACATAAAGTTTATGGCTTCTTCATATTAGTTTCTTTCATTTAGTAATACGCATTTAAGGTTCCTCCTTTTCATGGCTGGATAGCTCATATTCTATCATCTGGATGTATCATAGTTTATTTATCCACTCACCTACTGAAGGATATCTTAGTTGCTTCTAAGTTTTAACAATTATGAGTAAGTTTGATAATAAACATTTGTGTGCAGATTTTGTGTATACATTTTTAAAATTGAGAATCATCTATTATAATTATATTCCTTATATCAGTAAAATTTACAACCAACTTAGGTGCAAATATATATTTATACTTTTGATTTTGGGTTCTTGAACCTTTACCAACACACACCGCATAAAGGCCATGGTGAATGCTGGCTTTTTCTCTGAGTAAACAGAGAGGCCGATGTAGGATTTTGACCAGGGGGGTGGCTGGCAGTTTTTAAAGGTTCACTCTGGTTGTTGTGTTGAGACCTTAGTGAAATAGAAACAGCTAGAGAACCAAATAAAACATTATTGCCAGTAAAGGCTGGGTCAGAGGATGTAGTTTAGCATGAGAACAAAGATGGCACACAAACTCCCCATCCACCAATCTAGGCCGTGGCATCTGAGGGAAAGATAGTCCCCAGAGTAGACACTTACCCAGAATGCTGAGAGGAGAAAAGAGCCCCCAGGTTTCTTCTTTCTTATCTCTTCCCCCCACCCACACCTGAATCTAGAACTCCTCAAGGATTCTATAGCATTAAAAGAATCAAATTGTAGGAGATTTTTTGCTTGAATTTCCTCTTCCTTTTTTTTCTCATTAGAATTTTCCTTTTTTAGGTGATTTTGCACCCAGAGTTCCTATCCTCCACCAGCCCCTTGTTACCCATGGATTACGAAGAGTTCGTCCGAGGTTGTCATCTTGGAGTATTTCCGTCATACTATGAACCGTGGGGTTATACTCCAGGTATGTGACATGTATAGATGGTAGAACGTTTTGAACTTTATTTCATACGTATGTACGTGATATTCAAACTTGGCGTATAAGTCACTATTGGGAAGAGAAGCACAAAACCAAAGCTTACGTGACAGAAGGAATGTGGGAAGTCATTTATGTCAGGTAAAGAGAATGATACAGCACTTCTGGCAGACTTTCCACCAAAATGTCATTTTACAGGACAAAGTTAAACTTGATTGAAATGATAAAGGAATTATACATATTGTTAAGGTGTTATAAAACATAAGGAGATGAGCCCCAACCAGCGTGGCTCAGTTGGTTGGGCAGCACCCCACAGAGTGAAATGTTGCTGCTTCGATTCCTGGTCAAGGCACACGCCTGGATTGTGGGTTCAGTCCCCGGGTCAGGGGCATACAAGAGGCAACGAATCAATGTTTATCTCTCACAGTGATGTTTCTCTCCCTCTATTTATCCCTTCCTTCCTTTTTCTGTAAGAAAATAACTAACTAACTAAATAACTAAATAACTAAATAACTAAATAACTAAATAAATAAAATGTTTTTTTTTAAAATGAGACAAAAAAGAGTTTGGAAAATATTCCATAGTGAATGAGTCATTCTGTTTGGGATTAACCCAAGGAAGTTGGCCACTCCTAACCTAACCTATAATTACAGAAATAATGAAACATCAGGTGCTATAAGTTAGCATATTAGACAACTCTAATATTTAAAAAAATAATCCTTTTTATATAATACCAACTCAAACTCACTCCAGAACAACACGTTAAAGTCTGTGTTTTTAGAAAGCCCAATGAATATTTATTTCATTAAATTCACCAAATGAAGAGTTTATATGGATACCTGGTATTTTACTACGTGTGTGTTAATCAGTATTTCTAAAAGAAGAATTTGTTAAGTTTCATAGAATTGTAGCCAAAACTGTATGTATGTATGTATCTATATGTCTATGAACTTTTCAAAAGTTCATATATGTCTATGAACTTTTCTAGAAGTCCCATAGTTTTTATCAGATTCTCAAATGAATCAATAATCTTATTCTACCTTTCTCTCCTTGTCACCCCACCCCCATCCTAAATTAGGAAATCACAGCTCTCCAGCGAAAAACCAAAAGGAAATAGTTGATTGCAGAACAGGAGAAAAGGTCACAGTCTAAACTGTGTTACTTCATAGGCATGGGGAAATCTCTCTCTTTTTTTTAAACCTAACCCCACTAGCCAACCAAGAATTATTCCACAACCAAGTACAATTTCCTTGTTAAAAATACAGCTATCCTTGAAAGTAGTAATGTTTTGTGAGACATATTTGATATTTTCTGAAAAACAGGTTTTGACTAAAAGGTGAGGGAGGACTGAGACCATGGGGTTCACCGGAGCACGTAAGAAAGTGGAAGGGGTTTGTGCAGGGGGAGATTTCTATGGTGGGAGGAGCTGGTCATGGCCAAAACATTTACCCATCCCATTAACTTGCCCAACACTTAGAAACAGAAGCTTGGAATGGAGTGAGAAGCAAAACCAGTAGTGAGAGAGACTGTGTAGAGTAGCAGTTCCCAGCAAGAGCTCTGGAGCTGGGCCCCTGGCTGCAAATCCCAGCTCTCCCACGCCCTTGACTTTGTGATGTTGGCCAAGCTGTTTAACCTATCTGTCTTAAATTTCTTCATCTGTAAGGTGGAAATAATGGAGGCCTCATGCCACACGATTGCTGAAAAGATTAGATGAGTTAACACAAGTGAAGAGCTGAATACTGAGCCTGGCACAAAGTAAACGTTGCCATCACTGGGGTAGATGGGGCCTTTTTTCTCCTCTGAGTGGGTAAGAGGACACTGGAGCTGGTCTGAAGCCAAGCCTTTGTCTGTTTCCCCGGCAGCCGAGTGCACTGTGATGGGTATCCCCAGTGTGACGACCAACCTCTCCGGCTTTGGCTGTTTTATGCAGGAGCACGTGGCTGATCCTACTGCCTATGGTGAGGTTTCTCATTACTAACCCATCCCAGGGAGAAGGGACATTTAACCAAACAGAGCCCAAGGTCTTCACAGAACCTAACTCTAGAGCTGTCCTGTTTAAGCTAATGTTTGTATCTCTTGTTTAACAAAAAGTAGATTTAATTATGTGGTCTACAGAAAAAATAAAAATACTATTAATATTAAATACATTGCCCTAAAGACAAACTAGAAAAATGAGTGAAATGAACAAACAAAACTGACACAGAAAAATAACTGCCAAAGAAGTTTTGCAGGGCAAAACTTGGCCCTGGCTGGTGTAGCTCAGTGCATTGAGCGCGAGCTGTGAACCAAAGGGTCGCCATTTCAATTCCCAGTCAGGGCACATACCTGGGTTGCAGGCCAGGTCCCTAGTGGGGGCCACATGAGAGGGAACCACACGTTGATGTTTTCCTCCCTCCCTTCCCCTCCCTCTAAAAATAAATAAATAAAACCTTTAAAAAAAGTGTTAAACTTGGATCAACCTGCCCTTTACCTTTTTTTCCCTGAACTGGTTTGTCCCTCTTCTACCTACTATAATCTCAGGAGTGATATTACAATAACTGTGGTCATTGGTTGGCATAATTATTTCAAAGGTCTATGCCACATTAGCAAAATTCACTTAGGTTGTTGAAGATGGCAGGAAAATTTGCATATCACCATTTCTAAGTCCATGTTGCCTAGCAGCAAGTGAAGCCCCAGTGGGCTCGATTCTCTGCCTACATGCTGCCAATTCCCTGCTCTTCATTGTCCCTGTTCTCTTTCCTCAGGCTAGATTCTCAGCCACAGATGCACACTGGGTACACTGGGGGGTCTAAAAGGCCCTGACATCCAGGTCACCCCAGAAGTGAGCAGCCCAGGAAGAATCATTGATCCAGAGTATCCCTATACCACCAGATTTTTTTTGAAGCAACACCCATTCTGTTGGCTGTATATTGGTGAGAGTTTTTAGAGTGTGAGGATACCATAGAAGATACACAGCCTTGGAAGGGAAAAGATCGAGTAGAGGCAGTAGGGAGTTAGGGAGTAGGCAGTGCACGTGATCTACCAAAGACCCTAAGAAATAGGAGAGGAAATGCTCTAAGGTGAGCTCCACTTTTAACCTGTGTTTTGGCTTTTGTGCCCTTCAGGTATTTACATTGTTGACAGGCGCTTCCGCTCCCCAGAAGATTCTTGCAATCAGCTGACTCAGTTTCTCTATGGATTTTGCAAACAGTCACGCCGCCAAAGAATTATCCAGAGGAACCGAACTGAGAGGCTCTCAGATCTTCTGGACTGGAGATACCTAGGCAGAGTAAGCAAATTTGTGATCAACACAGAGGACCACTTAATGAATTCCACTGAATCACAAATACACTGATTCTAGTCATAATTTGTAAAATCAAGTCATAGTTGTTAAAATGTCTGTGATTTTTATGTACTTTTTTTCACATATTATGAATTTGCAGAGTCTTAAACCCAGTCTTTCACACTCAGTCTGATCCCATAACAGCAAGCCCATCGGGATCTAGCGCCAATCTTATTCTATGGTCATCGCTTAACTGGATGCATTACGAGTGTGCGGAAGTATTTCAGGAAGATGAGGAAAACATCCAGAGGAAAACTCCTACTTTGTTTCGCTCTAAGAGATAATGTGATCTTATCCCTTAGCTACAGTGGTTAACAGGAATAATACTCCTTTTCAAATGACAAATGCAAAGAAAAACACCTTCTTCCATGCAGTAGGTTTATAAGTACCCAGTGTTCATATATAATAGCACTGGCTGATTTATATAATAAAATATGTACTCAGTTTGCCTTTGCATAATGTATCTGCTGAGATACTGCTCAGCTTCCCCAGACAAATGATAGATGCTGCCATTTGCTGCATATCTGCACACCCTAATCCTAATGCTCATTGCAACCCTGGATGAATAATTTTGTTGTCTTCTTATTATAGTGAAAGGAGAATGATAAGGGTCTCAGGCAGAGGTTTTCAATTTTTTTCATCTCATGGCACACATAAAGGAATCACTAAAATTCTGCAGCATATCAAAAAATATCTCTTGTTGCCAATCTATCAAAAAAAATAAGTATGGCTATTGCGGTGTTGGCTGTTGGTATTTTTCTCATTTGACAATTTAAGGGAAAAGAGGTTGATGCCTGTGACTAAACAGTCAGCTATTGCATGTTCTAAAAATTCTTGCGGCAGGGACACTGGTGGAAAATCACTGCTCTTTATGTGCTTATTCAGGCCTCATCTTTTTTCCCCACACCAAACAGCTTCTCTGTGGAATGAAACCAGTGTTTTCAGTGCTCTTAGCACTAATTCAGAATTCAGTCGGGCCCATATGGCTTTTCCATCCAATGTTTTGTAGCATATCTTGACCTGTTTATTGAAAAAATAATTATGAGCTATCATTTTCTCCTGATTCTCAAATGTAGGATGAATAGAATGTCACTTTTTTAAAAATACATTTTATCACTAAGACAAGAATATTTTATGTAATAACTTGGTTGTGGAAGTATATAAATCTTTAACTTGTGAATTCATCTACTATCATAGTATTATCAGCATGCCAGGCACCTGACCTTAAGCAGAGCCTTTCCAGATAAATTCCATATGGAACCCACATCACCACCAACGGTAAATATTTTATGTATTGCGTATTTGTTTTGAAAGCTGAATTTATTACTTACGATAACTCTTAACAATACCTTTTAATTCGAAAGTAGCTAAGTACACTATGATACGTTTTCACAGTGTCGCATCAAAGCAAAGACCAGAGGAACTGACAAATCAGACCAACTCACAGCCCTTGATGCAGAGTTGGCCTCGTGTGTGAGATGGGCAGGCAGTGAGCTAACTCAGGTCACTGGAGCAGCACCTCCACACTAAAACTCTCTCGGACTCAGTGCTTGAAACCATCCCATTAGACATCCATTCGTTTGAAAGTTGCTCAAAAACAAAGTAGCCTGCTTTAACTGGAAGTTGATTTTCTACCCAAGGAAGTGTTTAAATATAGGGTGACAACTTGGCAAGAGTAATACAGACTGAATCCAAGGACCACAGGAAAAATTGAGGGGGCATTCATGTTCCACTCAGCAGTGCCCATTGGGGAGTCTTCTGAAATTCAACTACACTATATCAATGGGACAATATAGACTGCTTGCCATCAGATTCACTTAGAGGGACATAAGACAGAAATACAGCTAGAAGCAGGGCAGTATCAGACATTTGTCTTTGGTGGGACTGTCCTTACAACAGTCTACACAGTGGTTGAGGAGCTACACTTCTTTGTCCCCCTGACCTTCAGGTGATAGATTAGGTGCAAGAACCGGTAACATTGGGTATGAGATTCATCTTGGCTTCTAGGACTCACAGGGGCCAGTATCTTTTATTAATTCCCACAGACATAGTCCGTGGTCTCTTGTAATTGGAATATGCCCAATTAGCAGACTCATCAAATTCAGAGATTTTCCCAATGTACAGAGCCTCCAAGTTCAAATGTTAATTTCCCAATCAAGGGTCACTTTTACCATAAATAATTTTGCCTGATAATACAATTTATATTCCACCTTTACCAGGTATCCAAGAGAACAGATCTAGAAAGTTAACTCAAGGTAAAATTTGCCCATAGAGAAAGTGAAAGGGTTTTGTAAATCCCTCAAACTTCACTCCCATGTTCATGATTTTAGCAGAGTTAATTGCTCAGCATTTTTAGAGGTGAATGCTCCAGTTGAAGATAATTAATCTTCATTAATCTACACATTCAACCATTGAATATGGAGTGTCTCCTCTGAGCCAAGCCCTAAGTGCAGGACTCAGCTTTTTTTCTCCTGTGTTACTTTTGGGTAGTGTCTGAACCTTGAAATGACTCTACAAGTATGACATAATAATAATGGATAAAAGCGGTTTAAATACATTGACAAGCACTGTGACAATTTCATACACATTTCTCCTCAAGAAATGGGGAGCTCACTCAAACATGAGCACCTCTAAAGAGCAGGGACTGTGTTTCTCATCTGCTTCCTTGGTGCCATTATTGTGCCTCACCTGTGTTTGGTGCTTAGTATTGCACCCAAATGAGTTATCTCAGTGAATCTTAGGCAGAAGGGCAATTGGACTAAATCCTAGTGATCTTTGCTCATTAACTGAAATACAAATAGCTGGTGGGAGTTCAGGGTGAGCTCAGTGGCCGTCAGTTTCCAGAATGCTTTGTGGTGGTGGCCGTCCATGGCTTGTGCAGGCTGGCCGCGTCCTGCAGTTTCACTGAGCAAATCTAAAGGATGACGGAGAGTGACACTTTCAGCAGTGTAACACAACAGTTGACGTGGAAGGTTCTAGAGTGATCATCACCCTGGAAAAAGTGTCTGCTCTACCATGTATATGTTTTATGACCTTGGCCAAGTCATTTGGCCTCTCTAACCCTTAATTTTCTTTTGTAAATCAGAAAAACAAATTTATTGCAATGCGGTTATAAAGTAAGAAAACATATAAGTAGTACCTGGCACATGTCGATGCTATTAAAATAAAGTTATTTATTTAATGAATCTCTCTTGAGCTTGTTGGTACCAGAATCAAAACAAACCAAAATCAGTAGCCTCTGAAGAGACCACTGAAAATATCCAACTGTGTTTTTTTGTAATAAAATGCACATGCAAAATGTTTACATATTGAAAAATTAAGTTTTTTTAATGTTTGTGTCTTATTTTATCTTTGACAGACAGAAGGATTTAAATATCCCAGGCCTTCCTCAGTTCCACCTTCTCCTTCAGGGTCTCAGGCCTCCAGTCCTCGGAGCAGTGATGTGGAAGATGAAGATGAAGATGACAGATATGACGAAGAAGAGGAGGCAGAGAGGGATCGGTTAAATATTAAGTCGCCATTTTCTCTGGGTCGCGTCCCTTATGGGAAGAAAAAGCTACATGGTGAATATAAGAACTGAACTCCACACTTGTTCAGCAGAGCTCATTTAGTGAGAGCATAGTAAGAATGATTATTTAAAGAAATGAAAAGTATCACAAATTTCATTTTCTTCTTCTAAGAATCACAGTGGGATTTATTCTCGGCCTCAAAAATAGAAATTAAGTCAGTAACAATTTTATAACTTAAAATCCAAGTTATTTTCTTCCATTTCTTTTCCCCCAGTAAATTTCAGCATGAGGAAGTGTTAATTAAAGGAGGAAGACTGGAAGTGTTTTTAAAATGGTTAATTGAAGCAATAACAATTTTTGTTTACTAGCATTTCCAAATTATCATCACCATGATCCTTTGTTTAGTATTTATACAGCTTCTATATCTACCAAACAAGTCTCCCATTCCCCCCACCCCCCGAAAAGATCCTGTTCTTAATCATGAAGGTTTAATACCTACCTGTTTTAATCAGCTTAACAATAACCCACAACCTTCGGACCAACTAATACCTACCTATTTTTTAAAAACTCCATCTTTAATGATTATTTTCACTTTTCACATGTGCCAGAAACATGAATTCATATCTTGCTTTTCTGATAACCAAAATACATAATAAAACAGCTATCCTAAATCTACACCTCGATGCATATCTCTGCACATTTACAAGATCACATCTCAAATTAATTTGTGCTGTGGCTTCTGATCATAACATATTTTTATTGTTTAAAGGGAAAACCTATTTGAAAACATGTTCACTTAGCTAAACTGTTAAATCTAAATTAATAAATATATCATATTTAAAGATTTAACTTTCATTGATAATGTCTTATTTTAAATTCTTTTAGACATTTAAGTAAGATAGCACATAAATCACCTGCTACATAATAGTGCCTTATAATAAAGAAAAAATTTAAATGTGTTTAAAAAAGCATCAAAAAGAAAATTTAGAATCAACTTTGTAGTAAGGACAGTGTCTCTAACGCATCTATGAGATGCTCGGAGACACTTGAATGACTGTATTGAAACATGTTTTAAATGTAATTAAATCTAAATTGGCAAAACCAAAGCAAAACAAAGTCACACACACTCTTGGACTGTGTTTTTCACAACTGAGAATTATTACTGAGTGTTATTTCGATCACAGCGAACACCTTCGTTGGCATGTCAGCTGGTCTAGGTCAATAGAGGCTCTAAAAATGTTCTGGTCTTCTCAGCATGGTGCTCTCGATGGCGAGGAGGGAAGAGCAACCGTGGTGTTGCATCCCACGGTTCAAGACCAGCTCAGAACTGTACCCAGGTTTCCTGCTGCCCCGCTGTTAGGGAAAATGTAGGAGAATGGTGGGCACACACATCAGGCCAAAATGGGAGATGGCTTCAAGCTCGCCTCATGTAGAGGTTTGGGTAGAAGGGAAATCAATGACCTAAAGCTCAAGCCTTGAATCAGGCCCCATGGATGCCAATGAACCCGGTGTCTGCAGGGCAGTTTGGAAAGGTCTGCGCCGAAGATCAGAAACAGTATGAGATGGGTTCGTGCTGCAGTACAAACACCCTTTTGCTGAAGTACCAGGGAGATCTAATGATAAAAAGGAGTTTCACTATTACAATAACCATAAAAAATGTATCCCTGGTAAAGTGGTACACTGTATGTGTTCAAATAATACTCTTAATTGGTAATTGGCTGGGTCACTGATGGAAAACATGAGCTATATAATAGAATAACTTATTAATATATAACTTTAAAAGTCATAAAGTGCTTTTTTAAAAAAATAGAATAGTCTTCTGATTAGAAATGAATGCAAATAACCAGGTAAAAAAAGAAATGTGGCTTTCAATGTATGGGCCTCTCTGCCTTCTTGTCTGTCTCACGATCACAGTGGTGGTGTGGGAGGAGAGGAGGTGTCCTCTGGGGAGCCCAGGGAAATGAAACGTAATTGAGAGCCCACATTGGGGAACACACACACACACACACACACACACACACACACACAGTGGCAAAGAGGGGAAGAGCAGTGAGAACTGTGTCAAAGTGGTTGTGGGCCCAGTCGGGAGGTGGGAGTGTTCTGGTACACGGATGTGCACGGGAGGCAGATGATTTCCCAGTTCGGAAATCCAAGCCATACAATGTGAAAATTTTTGATCGCTGATCATTTGTTCATTTCAGTGTTGAAAAAGGTAGGAATAAAGAGAATGGCAATGAGACCCTAAGAGAGATAGAAAGTGACGGCAAGCTGGGCACAGGGGCCACCATGCGATGGCCGTGTTAATCAGCATATCGGTATAGCTGAAAAGCATTCGAGGAGTTCAAGTACTTATAATACATGAAACTGACATTATTTTAATGGCTACTGGTCATTTAGACAGCTTTTTAAAACACTGTTTTAGAGCAAAACATTTGAGATTGTTCTAGTTCACTTTTGGAAGAATTACTTTGCAAAACAGATTTTAAAAGTGTTCTGGGAATAAACATAATGTTTAAATGGATAGTATGGCTTACTATTCAATAAACATAATGTTTAAGTAAACAGTGCAAGTCTATGTCAGATGAGTAAATAAATATCAACAAACTGGGTATATGCACTGTCTACAAAATCCACTTTAAAATCAAATCATAATTAATGACAGGTGCCTATTATAATGTCACATAGATTTTTTTAATGGTAGCACATTTGGGGGCAGAGATCAATGTTACATGAACTTGAATATAATTTCAGTATTCAACTATGAAACAAGATACAGACAAACCATATAAGCAGGGTTTTGATTACGTAACACAGTAAAATTGTAATTCTAAGTTACAGAGACATGCACATAAGGATATTGTTCAGCTACTGAATGATGGCTATATACTGAGGACAGTAAGAATTAACAATACTTTTTACTTATGACATTTATCAATAACAACCTTCAATTAAGACAATGAACATGATGGTTATATTGTAATTACAAATAAATATATTACCATGTTTGTTGTACAATAGGTATACGTGTGTGTATATATTTTTCAGATAGTAATGAACCCAGGATGACTTTAAAAAGGAGCAAATTAGGCATGTTTCCACACGCTTACATTATCAGAGTGCCTTTATGTAATGTCACATAAAGCCTAGAGTTCTAGTTGATTAGAGCAAGCAGTCTTTGAGTCTGTTTAGCCATGGAAAATGGGTTACCTCTAAAGAGCCAGTTTGTTCTTTCTATACAATGTACAGAAGATCAGAGTGTGTCTCATTTGCTTCTCTGTCAGTACCTTTCAGTTCCCTGTTTCTAACTGAATTCAGGGAGATCCCAGAGAGTACAAGGGGGAGGTCCAAGCTGTGGAACCTACGACCTGCTCCAGCCTCACCGAAGAGCCCTCTCTTAGCTGCTGCACTGAAGTCTTCTAATCACAGGGCTGCTTCCCTACCCCTCTCTCCACTCCCTTCATAACAACTTACTCCTGGATGGAACCTAAAAGGCAAATTACAATCTACTCTTTCTTATCCTGCCCTGTTTTTCCCCTCACCATCCTTGGAGGTGGAAAAGGAAGAGATTCCCTGCTGAGTGACAAGTGGGTAACAGAATGAGAAAACCAACAACTAATAACAATTAGATGGGGATGGCTATTTGTTGTAACAAAAAGAACACTACAAACAATCTTGGGTCTTAATTGTAAATGTGAAAAAAATTCACGAGTAAGACAGAAGATGATCTAAACAGGACCTGAATATTTTAAAAAATAAAGGTAATAATATCCTCGGCTAAGAACTCCACCTAACTTTTGTTTCTAGAAGAATACAACTAGCAAGTTGTACATATCCCTAAGACCACAAATGAAGTAAAAAGGGTCCACAGGTTTATCCACATGGTCCGTGTCTTCAACAAGAATAGAACTGTAACTGGATACAATTTGGGGTATTTTCACCAGTTTCGCAGACTGTGATCCAGGAACCTGGTTTGATCAAAGTTTTCTTCTCCAGCTGTAAGAAAAATACATAAAATCAACCCGGTTTCCATGTTTTTAAAAAAAGATGAAGAAAATCTCAGGACATACTTAGTCTCCTAAGATATGTTAACTCATGCACTCTGATACTGACCCTCCCCCCAAAAAAGTAATGGGTTTTGCTTGATTTAGTTGTATATGTTTCTCCTCAGCTTGAGAAACATTGGGGAACTCACATTTCGCATCTGACTCTCCAGACTGAAGGAAACTGTAATGTGGTGTGTTTGATAGGAACCTAAAAAGGCCACAGTTCTCTCTCTGAGTATTCCTCAGGTCTAAAAAACCCACCATGGGAACCACTGGCTTGCATCTAGGTTCTTCCTCTGTACTTTCAATGTATCTTACTCGGGGGAGATGACACAGGATCACATTTACACATATTCTCTTAGTAGATGAGCTAGAGGACTGGGACGCACTGAGGCAGAAAGAAGGGATGCTTGTTGGCTGGACAGGATTGTAAAACTTTACAGTAAGAGGAATCCCTCCTGGGGCCTGGATAGCTAAGGAGTCAGATGGTAACTCCCAGGAGCCCTAGGGCTCCAAAATTGGGTAGAAGAGCTAAAGCTCCAACCAGGCTGGTGAGAGGGAGTAGCCAGAGGCAGAATGCCTCTTCTAGTTTTCCTCTAAAATCATTTTCAGATAAAACCACATTCCCTCAGTTTAGTTACAGCATAATTTGAATGCCTGAGTTGCATTTTAACTTGAATTGCCAGTATATTTTGAAATAATGGAAATAACAGACTGTTCTTTAAAACGAAGAAAAAAGAAAACCTCAACAAGAAAGGCGTCCCTGTATACAGCCTACTGTAATAAAAACCCACTGTTGGAAAAAGAGCCATCCAAATTATACCTTGGCACTTCAGAATAAAAATATTGAAGATGACTAGTGATTAATATATCACACGGGAATCCAAAACTTTTCCATCAATTTAGACAAAATTTTGTTTCCTCATTTCATTATCAGAGACAAGCCACTCTGGAAGCTTCATAATTAAAAAAATATATGTATTTTCCAAGAAAGACTTGAAATGGGGATCTATAATCACACATTCTTCCCTCAAGTTCTTAATGCAGACCCCTCTCCTCATTAAAATAAGCTTCTTCCTTTCTTTGTTCTAGCTCATTTACCTTTTTGGCTCTGCAAATCTTCCCAGCAATCAAACCTAAAACATTTCATCATCAGTAAGTGTGCCAAATACTGACTTTCGAGAATATCACCTTAGATGCAGCATACTCTACAGTTATCTACTTTTCACCTTTTTACTGCAAGAGTTCTGAAAGCTATGACAGCTAGTACCTGCTTTCTCTTTGCTCTGCAGTTTATTTACCCTCTTCTCCCAAATTCCCTGTAAACAAGGTTTCACAAGGGACGGGACAGCAGCAAATTGAACCCCTGGGCAGGTCCCAAGGAGAAGTTTGGGAACTGGCTCGATGTTTGATGACCCCTCCCAGGGAACACAATCTTCCTCTGCCCCTTGATGGCTGTATTCTTAAAAACCATTCTGCTATATTTGATGCCTCTGATCCCTCCTTTCCTGAGACTTTCCATCCTGGACTTCTGGATATTCTGTTACTCTGCTTCTCCAGCTACATCCCTGCCTGTTTCTCTTAATGTCCCTCCACTGTTATGATGTTGCCCTTTTCCCCTTGATCTCTGGGCCTTCTCCAAGGCAAAAGTCCTTTATTATCCGCCCTTCTCCCACTACATCTGAAGCCCCCTCAGAGGGATTTCCATTTTCACAGTTTCAACCTTGATTCACTGGTTCTCATTTTCCAGTTGTTCCTAAACACTGATCATCTGAGGAAGTTGGGGAACTTATTAAGGATACAGATTCCAGGACCTCATTCAAGTAGCACAGAATCAAAATCTTTGGGCCTCAAGCCAAGAAATCTGAATTTTCAGGAAGCACTCCAGTTAACTCTGATGCAGCCAGTACGCGGTCGAACAGCAGAAAACCACTGACTAATACACCTTTACTCACTGGAATGTTTCTTTCATCTCAAACTGAACCTTAATTACATCCACAGAAATTTTCATTCCTCATCAATACTCTCACACACACTAAAACATTTGCTGATCTCTGGATTCTCTTTTAAACCCTTAGTGAACAGTTATCCCATATTATCTGTTCTTCCTTGTAGGCTCCCTCAGAGTGAAGCCTCTCCATCCGTGCCCCTTGACTTGGCCTCATCAATTCGCTCCCATGTTACTTCCTTACTCCCTACTGGCTCCCCTCTCCAGCCCTTCCTCTTCGACACCGTCCACTTGAGAGGGAGCATGGCATTAACTGAAAGAGCGACAGGGTCACACAAACCTGAGCTACAATCCCAGTATCACTTCTCACTGTGTGACTTTAGGAAAGTAGATATACCTCTGGCAGGTTCGGTTTGCTGAGCTGTAAAAATTAGCTCTAATCTGGAAAGAGGAACATCTGATAGATAACCACATGATTTCACTTACATGTGGAGTTGAATGAACAAAATAAGTGAAAAAACAAAATAGAAACAGACTCGTAGAGACAGAGAACAGACGGATGATTGTCAAAGGGGAGAGAGGTCCAGGGGCAGGGGAAAGAGGTGAAGGGATTAAGAAATACAGACTGGCAGTTACAGAACAGTCGCAGGGATGTAAAGTAGAGCACAGGAAATATAGTCAAATCCATGGTAACAACTATGTATGGAGCCAGGTGGTTATTGGCAATATCGGGGGACCACTCTGTAAAGTATAGGATTGTTTAACTGCTATACTGTACCCCTGAAACCAATATAGAATAATATTGATTATAACTTATAATTGAAAAATTAAAAAATTAATTAAAAGGATTAAGGTCTGATCCATAGTAGATGTTCCCATGTTGTAGCTGTGGTCGTTGCTCTTATCGTCACCGTAGATGCCATAAACAGACTCCTGTTGCTTCACCACGTCCTCTCTCTGCTGAAAATCCAGAGAGCATCTTACTGATTCTCAGATAGAGAATAAGTTACCTTCTGTTCTTCATCCCAGGTCCAATATGTAGCTGTTACATCACAGTGGGCAAATGACCTAATCTTTCTGTGCCTCTTATTTCCTTACCTGTAAAGTGTGGATAACAAGGGTGCTTACGTACCTGAGTTACAGTGAGGATTAAATGTGTTCATCTGCATCAAGTGCTCAGAACAGCACCCGACTCACGGCATTTTAGTGAGCCCTCTATAATTATTCGCCAGGGGTAGCAGAAAGAGTCACCATCGTAGCTCTACCACGACCACTGCTCTTACAATCTGCTATCCCATTGGCTGCTCACCCCATCTTTTCCCTGCAAAGGCCACTCTCATTCTTGCTTTTGCTTAATCTGCCTTCCTCCCTGCCCACCACGGAGCCTGACACCCAGCAGGCATAAATACGTAATTGCTGAATTAAGTATTATAATCCCCGCTACTCCAGCAAGTCAGCCCAGGCCTTGCTCTAGGTTCAGAAGACCCCTTATTTGACTTTTGCATTTGCTGCTTATCCTCATAGGTATTTTTTCACAACAAAGCCATAAGCCAGAAACGCCCCTTCCCACATGGTCAGTCCAATACTAGGCACTGAGCACATGTGTTTTCTCCGCTAGCACAAGTGTCAGAGGCCTGGGCCAGCAGCCTGTGCTGTGCACACCAGACTGCTTACACTGGGTTTTTTATATATTTTAACATTTAAATGATGCCATGAATATGGCATCATTACACTTTTTAAAAGGGGAAAGTCTAGGTCTATTTATTATGCTTTGATGACCTCTTTTTTAATAGTAATAAAACGTATACACCTTTTTCACTGGGCTGTTAGCTACCCTGCACATGGGCATTATTCCATTTTACCCACTGATACTGAGGCTCAGGGTCACCCAGCTAACTAAAGCAGCAGAGCCAGAATTTGAACCAAGTACTGTTATAAAGGGCCTCCACAAGGCGCTGGCTAATCCATTATCAGATGCCTTAATTCAAATGGCAGTTTTAATACTACATGGACAGTGACTCTATTTGAAGGTTACACCTAATCCTGGCATAGAAGAAGCTGTCCGGTGCAGTGTAGTGAAAAGTACACAGACGTAGGATCAGAACCAGCCTATATCTATTAGGGTAAGCCATATGAAACTGCCGTATTTGTAAGTAAAAAAAAAGGGGGGGTTGGTGATTTTTAGCAATTTCATTTAGTTAACCCTTTAACGGTGAGCAACTGGATTTGTGATTATTTAAACCTCTTCTGGCCTGATGTTTTCAACTATAAAATAATAAATTTGGACTTTGAATTTTTTTTCAGTTCTAAGAGAAATAAAGGTTACAATAGATTGTGGATTGTGGAATTCATATGAAATTCTCCAGTCTCATCAAAGAAATATTTTTATGTTCTTAGGACTCACTTTAATGAAAAATATACTGGTCTTTAAACAATCCGCATTCTATACATTTCTTGGGGCAACTGTTAATTATTTTTAAAAACCTGAACAAATAAAGGCAACTTCATTGTACTCAACACAGAATCTCAAAAGTTACAAAGCTTCTATGTCCTACTGTTAAAAGAGGTCACTATACTTGTACCTTCTTGTGGCTTCTGCAAGGAAGCCAACAGCAGAGCTGCGGCCTCTGGAAGAGTTAGAAGTAGGGCATTCGGACTTCGTCTTTCTGGAGAAACAAAAATGCATACAGATCCTATTAGCATTTAAATATTCACATTGAGCCCTGGCTGGTGTCGCTCAGTGCATTGAGTGCAGGCCTGTGAAACAAAGGGTCACCAGTTCAATGCCCAGTCAGGACATAAGCCTGGGTTGTGAGTCAGGTCCCCAGTAGGGGGTGCGCAAGAGGCAACCACACACACTGACGGTTCTCTCCCTCCCTTTTTCCTTCCCCTCTAAAAATAAATAAAATTTTAATAAATAAATAAATAAACATTCACTTTGGTAAATTCCCATTGTGTTATAACGCTAGAAAAACCTCCATGAAATAAGATTTTTGATGCCTCAGCAAAGAGTTCCAGAAGACATTTTTATAAATTGAAACATTTCACATTTCCCTTGGACGGATGTTACTTACAATTGGTTGTTATGTATTACAGGGTATGGAAGAGAATTTAGACCATATACAACACAGAATTTCATGAAAGCCAAGAGGATTAAGATAAAGAGCCCATGAGAAATTTGCCCCTTCAGAGCTTAATATCGCAGAAGGGTTTGGATGTGATGCAGCTTGGAGCCTGGACAAGCTCCTCTCTCATTCCTTCCAAAACAGTTTGAGATAATGTACATTCTTGGACACGCGGAAGGCAATTATCTGACGGAAGGAATATCTGCTAAATATATACAAGATTATTTCAAATCTAAGTTGACAGAAGACAAAACATTCTGATTCAACACAAACCATGATTTTTAATTTGAGAGCAACTGAAGTGGAAAAGCATCGCTTACCCTCGTAAAGGAGATCAGCTTAATTACACTGCAATCTTGAAGGAGGTAAACGAGTGCTTGCTAAGCATCTACTATGTGCTCAACACAGAGTTAGGTGTTTTTCGAAATAAGCATGCTTTTTATTTTTAGCATTTCAATCTTTAAATTTTATTAAAAAAATAATTGCATTTTTATAATCCACTGGCACGGAAAGTTTCAGTCCCCGGTACTACTCTGTATGGCCTCCATTTATCATTTCTGGTTTGGAACATTTCTGTAGCTATTTCTAATAATATATAAGAGGCACACGTTCGAAGTTTCTAGGTGAGTCATTATCTTAATAATAATAAACAGTGGTCACGAGGAAACTGTGTGAAGGTCCTGCCATAACGGAGGCACATTTTGGGGTCTGCTGTAGTTCTGCCTACCCCGCCTTACTCCTCGGAGCTGAACGACCGCCCCGGTTTCTGCAGCGCCCGGAGCCAGAGGGCCATTTTCAGCACCTGCGACGAATTCGAGCTTGCCGGGTCGCAGCCCCAGCCTCGGGGCCGCTGCCACCTTTACGCGGGGCGTCGTGAGCCCCGGCCCCGGTGCTCCGCCAACTCCGGGTCGCCGGGGCCGGCAGTCGGGGCCGCCCCGCGCTGCGTCCCGAGACCCGTCGGAGCCGCGGTGTGCAGAGCGCGCCGCGTCCTCCCCGAACGCGCGGGCCCGGCCCCCTCGCTCCCGCGTCACTCACCCGGCGGCAGTCGTTCGGAGAGGTCCTTCCTCCGACTCTGGTCGGAGATGAAGCGGCGACCCTCTGCAAAGGCGAGACACGCGGCTCAGCGCCCGCCGGGCCCGGGACGGTCCCGAATAAACTGCAGCCGCCCCGCGCCGTGCGGCCTCCACCCCGGGAAGCGGGGACGCGGCGGCCGGCGCTGGGCTGCGGGGTGTCGGACGCTCGGGGCGCAACCCACGGCTCAGCCTGGCGCGCGAGGTGACCCGAGGGAGGCTCCACGCGCCCCTCCCCGACGCCCCGAGTGGCCTGGGAGCGGCGGTCGCTGAACCAGCCCGTGCGGTGGTAACCGAGCGCAGGGCCGCCCTCGGGGGCGCAGCACGCAGCCCCCCGCAGGGCGGCGGATTTCGGACACCTCCTCCCCACTCGCGACGCCCCTCCTCCGGGTCCAACTCCCAGCCCTCGCCCTCTTTCCGCCACCGCCCCTTTCCCTTGATTAACTAAGACCTGAGTGGCCTTGACCTCAATTACTGAAGGAAACGAACGGTATTATTCCCTCCCCGCAGCTCTCCATCCAGGAGATGGACGCAGGTGCCCCCGAGGACCCTCCTTTCCTGCTGCGGGAGGGGAGCGGGGTGTGTCCAACGTACGTGCGCCCTTCAGGTAAAGCATAGCCTGAGGAGTCCAGTTCCTTCTCTCAAGGAGCCTCTGGAACCCCGGAGAAGAGAAGCAGTTAATAAAACAGTGCCCCTAGCCCCTATTAAGAACAAGAAAGGAAGGGAAAGATGGAAAAGAAACAAAATAAAAAAGAAAGGGAAGGAGGGAAGGATAGAAAAGCGGGGGGGGGGGAGAGGAAAAAACAATGAGGAGCATCTTTTTTTTTTTTTTTTTTTTTTTGCGTTTGAGTACCTGGGGCGCACTGCTAGCCTTTCCCAGGAAAGAAAACACCAGGAAAAGAGCGAAGGTTGTTGCCGCCAGACTTCGGAGTCCCTGCAAGAAACCATCAAGACAGTCACTTCTGTGCCTGGAGGACCTGGTGCTTCCTTTCCTGACGCCCGGACACTTCGAACGCGTTACTTCGCGCTGTGTTCTCTTTTAATACTCAGTATGCGGTCCCCATTCCCCAGGCTGCCTTTTAGTTCAATCCAGAAGAGTTCTCCTTTTAAAGAACTCATTTAGAAATATATGTTCATTAATTAACCCAAGTGACAAATTGCACACGTGATTTTTAAAATCTTAGTAATATCAAATGATTCTAATATTTTAAGGCACAGAAGTGACTGTGACTTAAATAAAATATTCTAATATTTTAGAGGATATTGTTTAAATAACCTCTAAAATGCTTATTCAACATACAATAGACACAAGCTGTAAAGCTTTTTGTAAAATAGTTAAAACGTCTTAAGTAAATTAAACCTTTACTTGCCTTCATGGTCTGCTCCTTTCCAGAACCTGCAATAAATATAACTTTACCTTTGAGCTTTCCAATCTCATTCTGAAAGTGGGGCTTTTAAAATCTTGGTGTCAAGGACCCTTCCTTCACACTTCAGCAGAGTTAGGGAGTCCACAGGGGTTTGTTGTCAGTCTTCAAGAGTGAGAGGATCTGATGACTCCGCCAGGAAAATTCAATTGCAGGAAGTAGAGAAATGACTGACAGGCGGGCATCGTTTGTTCAGATACTGACCACATCAGGGATATATTCCGAAAATATCAGCATTATTGCCTTTGCTTTTCCCATTAGTTTCTCAAAGCATTATTATCATCATCATCATTATCAAAGAAAATTAATAACTCCTGGCACAATCAAAACTTAATAAAATAAGAAAACTTGTTTTGGATAACTAGCTATCAAGTTATCACTGATGACTCAGGATGAATCACTGGGGAAGAAATGAAAAGGTTAGGGAATCTCAATGGAATTTGACACTTGTTATTCACTTAGTTACCCATTCAATTATTTAACAAATATTCATTGAATGTGTACTATGCATTAGACATTCCTTTTTTTAGTTCTAGGGACACAGTCATGCATTAAAAAGACAGTCTCCTCTTTGATCAAGCTTATCTTTTAGTCAGGGGAGAAATACTCTATACTAATAAATAGGTAAACAAGATAACAAGAACATTTTAAATATTTTGTAAAGTAAAGAGAATGTAAAAATTGAGGGGAGTGGGCCTGGAAGGAGAAGGTGGAATAAGGCATGGGATAAATTGGAGTAAGAATTAGTATTCCAGGCAGAAGGAAGTAAAGCAAAATCTTGGGATGGCAAAGAGCCAGGCTTATTTGAGGAACAAGAAGGAAATCAATGGAGTCGGAGTTGTGTAGGTAATAGGGACAGCACTTTGAAATGAGATTGGAGAGGAAGAATGGGCCAGTTGTTTGGGAACCTGGGTATAAAGAAGAGGCGATGATGGCTTGGACGTGGGTGGTACTTGCAGGGAATGGAGAGCTGTAAATGACTTTGGGATGCAGGCTGGAGGTAGAAAATACAGAACTTGAGGATGAATGAGATATGAGCATATGACAAAAATAAATTAAGGATGATTTTTAGGTTCTGGCTTAAACACGGGGTGAATGATGAAAACTTATATTAAAGTTGGAGAGACTTGGTAAGGAAGCAGTTACTAGGGAAATTAAGAGTTGTCTTTTGGGCATATTAAGATTAAAATGCATGGTTAGTTAAATATACAAGTAAAAGTGGAAAGTAGGCAATTAGGAATGCAAAGCTCTACGGAACTCAGCAAAGAGGTCACTAGCCTATGGATACTTTTCTAAAGGCATAAATGACCAGATTTAAGAATTCTAAAAAATTTCAAGGCAGGAAAAGGATTGGGATTGAGTGATAACACTTAGGGAGTGAATGGAGTTAAAGAAGAAAGGAAGGGGCAGACCTACAAAAATAAATACACAGAATGAGCAGCGGGAGAGCCAGTAAGGAAGGTGAGGGGAAGCAATGAGAAAGAAGGAGAAATTCCAGGAGGTGGTGGGAACCAGGAGAATGTCCATTACGTCAAAAGGTCAAACTAGATGAAAACTGAAAACTGTACACTGAATTCAGGAATATAATGGTTTTTGAGGACATAAACTAGATTGGTTTGTCATGAGAGGATATGAGAAAATAAAAACAAGTGTGGGCAACCTCCTTTAAGAATTTCACTAAAAGGGAGAAAAGGAAAAAATGACTTTTTTTAAAGATAAGGTACTTGAGTGTGGTAGATGTATGTTATTTTGGGGGGCCTCAGTAACTTCTGAACCCTTTTATTTTTATTTATTTATTTAGAGAAAAGGAGGAAGAGAGAGAGAAAAACATTAATGTGAAGAGCAACATGGACTGGCTGCCTCTAGTACATGCCCTGACCAGGGGCCAAACCCCTCACCCAGGTATGTGACCTGACCAGAAATGGATCAGGCGACATTTTGCTTTGTGGAACTACACCTGACCAACTGAGCCACACTGGTCCGGCTATTTTTATTTTATTTTTAAGTTTTTCTTTTTTTTTAATCCTCACTTGAGAATATATCCATTAATTCTAGACACAGGGAGAGAGAGATAGATATTGGTGTGCATGTGCAGGAGAGAGAGACAGACAGACAGACAGACATTGATGTGAGAGAAACATTGAGTGGTTGCCTCTCATATATGCTCCTGACTGGGGCCCGAACCTGGAGCCCAGGACTGTGCCCTGACTGGGAATGGAACCACAACCTTTGGGTCTGCGGACAGTCCTCCATCTAACTGAGACACACTGGCTAGAGCTGAGCCCTTTTATTTTTAGGGGATTCCTACAATTCCTAAATTTCCCTGATTTATGAGTGATGAAATTATGACTCTTGGTGAGAGGCAGACACTTTTTTCCTATTGTAGAAGCTGAGAATGCCAGGTCCTCATTTTCCCAGCCTCCCATTCAGGTGGGGTGTGGGCACAAGATGGGGGCTTCACCATTCAAATGCACCCAGTCAGATGGACAGTCTGGAGCTAGGATGGAAGCAAGTGGGGGTCTGGAGAAACCCTGGTGCAGCAGTGGCTGTAGAAAGCTTGAGTGTGTGGGGCAATACTGTCTACAGCGCTGACAGCAGATTCCAAGATGGTGTTACGCACTCCCGTGTCCTTAAAATGAAGTCCTCCTGCTCAGATCTGTCCAGTTTGTTGATTTCTCTTGAAGACAACTAAGAAACCAATTGCGGGACATATATGTCGATGGAGATGATCAGTAGGGAAGGAGAAATGGGTGATGAAAAAGAGAACTGCAAAAAAGAATGCATAGAAGGCAAGGGGGCTAGGATCCGAAGTATGTCAATATTCAATTGAAATAGTTATATACATAGGCAGATATTGAATGAGGACCTCAGTACCTACCATATACTAAAGTGCAATGGATTATACGGTCCCTTTCTTTTAAAAGAGCAGCTAGCTGTTCAGGTGTTAATGAATCACCTGGGAAGTTTGCTAAAAATGCAGATTCTGGTTCAATATAGCTGGGGTAGGGCCTGAAATTCTGCATTTCTAATAAACTTCCAGGGGATGCTGATGCGTGCTACTCTACTGATCATTGGACATTTTGCGTAGTAAAGCTGTAGAAGCTATGAGAAGTGAAGAAAGCTGAATCTTAGATCCATGTGGCTGGGAGAATGTCTAGCACTAGAAATATTAGAGTATGGGGTGAGAGCAGATGACTTTCATTCATCGGGGATTGAGGTTGGAGGGGCTGATGCTACCTGCAGATCTTGTATAAGAGAGATTGGAGACACGTGCTCATGAACTAAATGGGGGGGAATGGTGGGGGAGGGGTGTGCAGGGTGGAGGGGAATGAAGGGGGGAATAGAACAAATGTAATGGCATAATCAACTAAAAAACAAAAAAAATTAAATTAAATTTTAAAAAAAGAGAGATTGGGGTTGGGGAACTTGATATTTAGACTTCATTGTCATGCGCGGACAAGAAAACTGAAATTTGGTTAGTAAAATGAGAAAAGAATACTGAAAAGAGTTTGTAGAGAGAAACTTGAGGAATATTTACTCTTTTTAAAGAATAAGAAAGAAACAAAGGCCTTAGTGTAATGTTTTCCACTGTCTTAGGAGAGGAGAAAGATTAAAAAAAAACCTAAAAACAAAAAGGTTAACACCAAAAACAGATAAAATCTTAATATTCCTTTAAACTTTAGATTTTATGATTTAATTTCAAAAGATTGTAGTAACTCCCAAAAAAGAATAATAAAATAAATAAAAGTATTCATGTGTTTATGATTTACAAGAAATCTTAAATGCAACCCAACTACTAGGTTACCTAACAAACAAGTAAAATGCCTTTTTCCCCTTTCTGTACCAAAGGCACATAAAAGGTTTAGAAAGAGATACAGGAAAACACATTCCTGTTTATACTGTGTTTTGAATTTACCCTTTGAAGGAAAAATAAGTGAATGTGGTTTGCTTATAAGAGTTTAGCTAATGAATTCGCAAGCAGATGTTTGACGTCAAACCTGCCATTTTCAGTATAATACGCACAAGTGAAGAGAATGGTTTTGACATATTGTCAATATTGTAGTCTCATCCAAAGTAGCACGTCAGAAAGTGTTTGTTCTAAAAGGACATTGACTTTCAGTGTTTTTGTTAAATCACAAAGATTTAAGATTTTTATAGGTCTAAACCTAGAGGTAGGCCAAGAAAAGTTATTTGATAAAAATTTGATAAATAAAACCACTGAATATTTTTTCTGCTGACATTTATTCTGCTGACCAGGCAATGAGCATTGAACAAATTGGATCCTAAGCTTTTAAAAAATATTTTAATTTTATTTATTTTATTTTTATTTTAAAATATATTTTATTGACTATGCTATTACAGTTGCCCCATTTCCCCCCTTCACTCCCCTCCACCTTGCACACCCCCCACCCACATTTTCCCCCTTTAGTTCATGTCCATGGGTCGTACATATAAATTCTTTGGCTTCTACATTTCCTGTACTATTCTTACCCTCCCCATTTCTATTTTCTACCTACCATCTATGCTACTTATTCTCTGTACCTTTTCCCCTTCTCTCCCCCTCTCACTCCCCTGATGATAACCCTCCATGTGATCTTCATTTCTCTGTTTCTGTTCCTGTTCTAGTTTGCTTTTGTTTTTTTTTTAGGTGTGGTTGTTAATGATTGTGAGTTTGCTGTCATTTTACTGTTCATATTTTTTATCTTCTTTTTCTTAGATAAGTCCCTTTAACATTTCATATAATAAGGGCTTGGTGATGATGAATTCCTTGAATTTAGCCTTATCTGATAAGCACTTTATCTGCCCTTCCATTCTAAATGAAAGCTTTGCTGGACAGAATAATCTTGGATGTAGGTCCTTGCATTTCATGGCTTGGAATACTTCTTTCCAGCCCTTTCCTGCCTTTAAGGTCTCTTTTGAGAAATCAGCTGACAGTCCTATGGGAACTCCTTTGTAGTTAACTGTCTCCTTTACTCTTGCTGCTTCTAGGATTCTCTCCTTCATTTTAATTTTGGGTAATGTAATTATGATGTGCCTTGGCGTGTTCCTCCTTGAGTCCAGCTTCTTTGGGACTCTCTGAGATTCCTGGATTTCCTGGAAGTCTATTGCCTTTGACAGATTGGGGAAGTTCTTCTTCATTATTTGTTCAAAAAACTTTTCCAATTGTTGCTCTTCCTCTTCCCCTTCTGGTACCCCTATAATTTGAATGTTGGAATGTTTAAAGATGTCCTGGAAATTCCTAAGCCTCTCCTCATTTTTTTGAATTCTTGTTTCTTCATTCTTTTCTGGTTGGATGTTTCTTTCTTCCTTCTGGTCCACACTGTTGATATGAGTCCCAGTTTCCTTCCCATCACTATTGGTTCCCTGTACATTTTTCTTTATTTCATTTAGAATAGCCTTCATTTTTTTCATCTAATTTGTGATCAAATTCAACCAATTCTGTGAGCATCCTGATTACCAGTGTTTTGAACTGTGTATCTGATAGGCTGGCTATCTTTTCATCACTTAGTTGTATTTTTTCTGGTACTTTGATCTGTTCTCTTGTTTGGGCTTTTTTTTTTTTTTTTTTTTTTTGTCCTGATGCACCTGTTATGTATGAGGGCTGGCCTTAGGTGTTCAACAGGGCGGGGCAACCCAGTCGCTGGGTTGTGGTGCAGTATGTGGGGGTGGGGTCCGAGAGAGAACAATGATGCTTGCTCCACTCTCTGCTGGACTTTTGCCACCTCCCCCGCTTCCCCTAAGCAAACCGGCCCCTTCTGGTGCTGATTCCCATGTGGGTGGGCTTGTGTACATCCTAGGACCCTGTGGGTCTCTCCAGTGAACTCTCCTGTGAGACTGGGAGTTTCTCCCACTGCTGGCTCAACCTCCACAGGTGTTTTCAATCAGTGTTTTTGAGGCTTTATTTCCCCGTGCTGGGGCCCTGGGTTGTGCGGTCTGTCTCACTCCCGTTTCCCCTGGTTTATCTGCACATGAATGTGGGACCTCCCGGTCTGCCAGCCACCGCTTTGCTGTGAGTTCTCTCTGCCTGGTTGCACATTTCCACCCCTCCTATGGGTCTGAATGAATATTTCTTCTTTAACTCCTTGGTTGTCAGACTTCCACATAGTTCGATTTTCTGTGTGTTCTGGTCATTTCTTGTTTTTAAATTGCTTTTGTCCTTCTTTTGCCTGTGCGAGGAGGCACAGTGTGTCTACCTACACCTCCATCTTGGCCAGACTGGATCCTAAGCTTTTTTGAGAGGCATATTCAATGGAGACCATTTTGTTTTCATATCTGGTGTTACCTGAAATTTTCTAGTTGACCAGAGGGGACACAGGGCCCCTTTTAATAGTAATTGTCACTCTTGAAACTGCATTCTTACAAGGTCAGTGATTTTTGTTAACATTGGAAACAGCTCCTATCTTGGGTAAGGTTACCTGAGCAATATGGCCATTATTGATACTAAAATATCCAGATTACTTCTTTGATGATAGAATAGTGGATTTTGGAATATTATGAATGAAGTCATTGGGTTCAGTCTCCTACTATGGCTTTACTCTGCGCCAGGGCCAGTTTGTGCCACATACACTTGTTTTACAAACAGGTGGAAAAAGTAATTTCCCCGAAAGGGCTACCAGTCCTAGGAGGGGCTTTCAGGGGTGCTGAGAGGGCCTGTTATCCACAGTAAAACTCCCCTTTCATTGGCCAGTATATTTACCACTCTTCTTTTACTTAAGGCCTCAAACCTCAAGAACCTCTTTTTCATAACCAAATAAAGACAAAACAAGTGCAGTGCTCTGTAAGAGGACAAGGACCAGCTCTTTTGGCCTAGTGGGTCAAGAGAGATGAATAAAGGTGACATTGTAATTGTCTTGAGAGGTGGTAAAAGGTGTCTCGCCTCTCAAGGTGTTTGAGAGGTGGAAAAGTGTCTCAATCTATTAAGGATTCAGGGGTATGCTACTTCTGTGTACAACCTCTTACATGGATACAGGTAGCAAAAGGGCAGAGGTTGGATCCTTTCAGCCCCAAGGACAGTTAGAAAGGCATACTGGGTATTTAATAACAGATGTAAGACTTTGTGTTCATCAGACAGTAGTCAAGACTTGCAGTTTAACTGGATTCTACAAACACTTATTGAGTACCTTAAGTGGTAGATTTGGCAAGTTTTTTTTTTTGGCCTTAACAAAATTTATGATCGAAACCTTTCAAGACACTGCAGATGTTAAGTGGTTTTATTTAAGTCACAAATACTTCGATAATATATATTACTTCCATCTTGAGAAAAAGGTATTTAAGCATTGCTCCACTAATTTCTAAATTTACTGCCTACTTTTTTGGTTGACTTTAAGTCCATTTCTAGTTATGATTACATTTATGCAACTTGGAAATGAAAAATATGATGATCTTTTTGTAAAGAAGAAAATTGCATATAAGGCTGATTTAAAAAGGTGAGCTATTGTAGAATGCTAAACTTAATTTTGTTTCCTAATAATATATTTGATCACTTGTTAATTCTCCAAAATTCTTGTTGAAAGCCCAACCCCCAATGTGACAGTTTTGGAGGTGGAACCTTTGGGAGGTGATTAGGTTTAGTTGAGAAAAAAAGAAGGGCCACTTGTGATGGGATTAATGTCCTTCTAAGAGGAAGAGAGAACTGAGGCTTTCTCTCTACCTAGTGAGGACCCAGTGAGAAGGCAAGCAACAGCAAGGGTCCTCGGCAGGACCTGAATATGCTAGCCCCTTGATTTCGGACTTCCTAGCATCCTGGGCTGTCTGTTGTGCAAACCACCCATTCCATGGAATTCTGCTGTGGCACCCAGAGCTAAGACAACCACCAATTAATAGAAAAGTACCCTTTTATTGAGAGATAAGACAAGTATATTTACAATATTAAATTGTTAGATCATATAGTCTGAGTGGGACATTTTTTTAAAGCAGCAGTATTGTAGGAATTACAACTTAGGAGGGGAAAAGAAAAACATTCCAAATAGGTTTCTGTTACAGAAAATACATTTGAACAATGCCAGAAACACTTAAGGCTAAGTAGAATTTGACCTTTTTTCTTCCTTCTTCACAGCAATAATCAAAGTGCTCTTTTTCTTGTCACTGAAACAGAGGGTTAATTTTGGAAAGGAAGAAGCTGTGTTTTAGAAAAACTGAAATAGTGGAGGATTAGGACGCTTCAAAATACAGCCTCCTCAATGGTTCTGAATACAAAACACATAAAGCTGCCTGCAGTCCCACACTCACATTTGAGGTTAACCAGACTCATGTCAAACCAAAAACTGCTCCAGCCTCAACCTTATGAGCAAAAGCTTTACAGGCTTCCGTCTGAGGATGCTTTCTGAAATAAGATTGTTGAAAAGATCTGGTAGAAATCTGTGTCCACAAAGGAGTTAAATAATAACAGATGTTCCTTACATTAAGATACTGTTCTTGCTTTAAAAAAGTAGAATTGTCTAGCCTTTGTAAATAATATGGGCTAGTCAAAAATATGTATAACAAGTCCTATGGGCAACTTGTGTAAGTCAGTCCCCAAAATATGTATGTATTTGACACTCTTCCAAGTGAGGATATTACTTTTCAAAGAACATTAGACACAATACTAGGTCTCTTATTATCCCATGAACTATTGAGGTAGGAGTCTTATTTTGTCAATATCACCTATTTTTCACAGATAATTTCTTAAACCATATGCCAGTACCAATAAGACAGTAATCCACAAGACTGAACCATTAGATAATATACTAAGTCTTTCCTTCTTTAAACAAGCAAGGTTGGGAGTTCTCTGTGCATCAAGAAATTTAAAAGTAACATAGACTGGAATACATTTCGTAATCCTGTCTGTACGTATAAAAACACAAATTTCAACTATGATTTTGTGTCAAAAAACTTTGCAACTGTTAAAAAAAAAGTAAATAGTGAAATCACTTAGTGGTAAAACAGTCCTATGGCTGTTGACATGTGTTACTATATCTACCACAAAGTGGCCACTGTGGAAAAGTACTGAAGAAACAACCAGTTTTTTTACCGCCTGACAAGCAGCAAGAGTAGAAGAGAATGCATTATTTTTTAGTGTCATATTTTTAAGAAACTATAACCAGTTTAATTAGAGTAAAATAACCTCAGCATGTGAACTCAGATATTTTCTCAAGATGAAGAGTGATCATATGAAGCATACATATTCATTTTTATGCTATGAAAAAACTGAAAAAATGGGACACTCAGCTCGCATGAATAGCCCTTAAAAATAGCTGTAAGTTTAATGTCTTAACATGTTACATCTTAAAGTAAACATTACCAATAGTTAGTTATTTTAGTTTGTAAAAAACATAATAAACCACCGCTAATTTTTTTTAAATAGAAGAAAAAAAAAACCTACATCATGACATGGAAAATGAATTTGGTTTGTATCAATTATATCTTAAATAAAAGACTATTCAATAAGACAAGCTATGTAACAGACTACTTCATGGTCAAGAATGATTTTGTTAAATGCCTATATGTAATGAAAGATACAGATGCAGTCTTAGACTCTTAAGAAGGATATTTCCAGAACGTGTTGCTGACCAAAGATGTGCTCACTCAGCTATAATTTAGAAACTAAAAGCTAGTAAAGAATGACCTTTGCATATTCCAACAGAGAATACCTACTTCAGATTTTCAGCTTGCTTAAAAATATTAAGATTCAGAAGAATCACAAAGTTTTATTTTCACCATATGCTTACCAAAAAAAAAAAAAAAAAGCGATTCATACATCAAAACTGGTTTTTCCTTGGTTTTAATACATTAAAATAACATAATCCAATCATGTAACCCAATTTAACTCATGCATCACTTTTGAGGACACATTACCACTGGAAATATTTCTTCAATTGCAGTGGACATTTCTAAAAAGCAAATGCCTATGGGCGGGTGCTCCTGAACCTTCAAAATTAAAAAAGAGTCAGGCACCACAGCTCTCTAAGGATGGTTGTTTTGCACATCGTGGAAAGAGTTTCAATATGCACTGTAACAGATTTCATCTCCTTCGGTTTGCTTGCTGACTCCTTAGGTCAAGAGTTTCAAACCACTGTAACAGACTTCATCTCCTTCTGTTTTCTTGCTGACTTCTTAGATCACCTGATTAAGAAGCCTGGTTTCATTGCTTCTTTGTTAGCTGTTGTTGGTACTTCGTAGATAGACATTTTAAACTTCTGTAAAGAGCATTACAAGCTATTTCATGTAATTTAATTTTGTGCTGAATATTCTTCAAAGGATTTTATAAATAATACAATATTTTAAATGAGTCTTCAGTTCACTGTTGTTATACCATATTGTTGCTTTCTCCAACTTTATCTACAAACTGCAAGGAGAAAAACAGGTAATTAAAAGAAAGCCTTCAGCATCATAAAATATTACATCAACATTTTAAATGTGGATTTAACCCAGCTTTATAAAATTTGTGGAAATTTAAGGTATGGCCGACAATGATTAATCCACTACTACTCACCACCATCTTCTGACACACAAAAGTATATAAAATTTTTTTTCTAAAAGTTGTTTTTGCATGACATGTTCTACATATGAGTTTAAGGATGCAACATGAGAAATGCAACACAATGAATGGAAAAATTGGATAAAATGAAATTAACACTGATAGCTTAACAAAAAATAATAAAATAAAAAGCTGAAATGTCACAGCCATTCATTCATTAATGAACCCAATAAGATATTTCAACTGACCATGACTGTGGATCTCTTCTGGGCCTATGTAGTCTTTGAACAAACAGATTTAACTCCATTAAGTTCAATAATTAACATCAGCTATTGACTAAAAATACTTTAAACGTGTATCTGGACTATAGACAAAGTGACAATGTTATTAAAAATAGGTGCAATGATGCAAGCATAACATCTTTATAATTGCTGAATATAGGTTTTAACACATATTAATGTAAGTGGTTATTTACTTTGGTTACTTCACCCCAAATATAAAGTAATTGGGCTTTCACCAGCATTCCAAATGGAAGATGCAAGCAAATATTGAAACAAAATAATAGTGGAGATACTACAAGTCAAGTAACCAATGTGGTTATAATACCATCAAAATCTAGCCATCTTTCTTTTCTAACTCTTTCATTTCATTATTCACATTTTTTACTTAAGCATTATTATAATGAAGTAATAATAATAGGAAACATAATGGGTATCCATTTATACAAATGTTGAAGAACACTTAAATTAAGGACATGAATAATGATTATAATTCTGTAACTAGAAGTCTCACTAAATTCAAACACCATTCTAAGAACAAACAAAATTGACTACTATCTGAGTTTGGAGATTAATGCCAAAAAAATCAGGATATACTCCTGTAAGTCTAGGTTCCAACATCTTTTCTGTAAATTCCAGATTATGGCAAACAGGTGACTGACACACTGAAACTGAAAGTTGCTCTGAAGGTTCTCATGGATTCATAGGTGACTTGTGGTGAGAAAGCACATTTTCTCTTTAAAAGTAACTTCTAATATGTAGATTGCCTGGGTTGTAAGATTCTGACTCTATAATTGACTTAAGGATAAAACTAAAATCAGGCTTATAGTGGTACCTTCAGTTCTGTGAGAATTTGATAAATGCTATGGACTGTGTATCTCTAGAAACATCTACCAAAGTCTGTAAGTAACTTTAAGCCCACACTGGAGGAACAGATTTGCCAAGACCACTCAAATCATACAGAGAGCTGGGAACAGAATTTCATGATGCAACTTTCAGTATCACATTGCTTCATTTGATTGTCTTATTGCACCTCGTTTGGTGAGACAGTCTAAGAAAGAAAATATTCATAAGAAATAATGATGTCATTTTTACATTATTGCTTCTGAAATTAGCAATCATATAAAAGTTACCTGAAAAGTATGCTGAACTCTCAGAGTGAAAGGTAGCATAGCATATCAATCCGAATTGTATTAAAAAATAGAGAACAGTATTAAAATGAATAGTGTAACAAAATTTCAGGTTTTACAGATTTACCAATGGTTATTTTCTCTGGTATTCATGGTAATTATGTTCTATGTGATGCAACTATTTATAATGTAATAAAAACATCAATTAATCATGTCTCGATCACTCCGATTTCTAAAAGTAAAGAGCATCAAAGATTATTTTGATGGTTTAAAAATTATATTTCAAAATACGAGATTACTTACTGATCTAATTCCAGGTAAATTCAAGAGGGCTCCAAGGACTGGCACTCTTCTAATGAAGCCAATGACCACAGGAAAGAAGCCCCTGGGAGAAGGAAAAAATAGTTCTTTGTACTTGCACATTCTCTATTACTAAAATCAATTGCTAGCCAAGTAAAAAGAAATCTGTTAAAATTTTGAAAATTTTAGAGACTTCAAACTTCATTTAACATTTTTTACCTTTCCCAGGATTTGATTCCTTCCTCAATTATGTTCTTACAACATTTTGCATATGTACCTACAATGGCATTACTACTATATCCTACTAGTATCTTTATGTATTTTTGATATTAGAAATGAGTTCTCTAAGGCAGATTTGGCACTTAATTCATATTTACATCTCCTGTGGGCAATGTGGTATCTGGCAAACAGATAAAGTATTGATATATACATTTTTTGGATAAATTATTAAACCAATCTTAAAGGTATTTTCTTGCATTGCACAGTATTGTTTATTCATTTGGTAACCTGCATTTGTAAAATATTAACTTAGAATCTCTAATAGTGTATAAGGTAAAACATTTTCTAATATGTAGAAGCACTAAAGAAACTGCTATCAAGTAGCCGTAACTAGGAGGTTATCAGGTTCTAGGTTCTACATAGTAAAATGCTGGATTTGTCTACGTAACTATCACTTCTAGTTGATGAAAATAGCAAACAAAGACAGCATCTTTAAAGGCCAATAAAATGAATTTTATTCAATTGGAAATACTTTACAAGGTAATATATACCCTTGCATAGGCAATTATCCACATTTTATAGTTGATTAAAATACCAAAAACTGCAATAAAAGACTCCGTGTAAACAAAAATCCATTTAATAAAAGTATAGTCTTCTTAACCATGCTGATGAAACTATCTAGGTCTTTAAAAATAATTATGTGACATACTATTGTACTGAGAAAGAAAAAATAAAATGACTGCCTTACCTGAACAACAGAAAGAATCCATAAATTTCGAAGATCATGCCTATCAAAGGCCAACCAATAAGGACTACAAATACGCCACCCAGGAAAAATCCTGTGGCTTTCATTTTATGTTTTTGGAAGAAGAATCTGAATGTTCTTTCTAAACCAATTACAAAAGCCAAGCCAGCCACAAATAAAACCTACAGAAGGAAAAAAAAAAGCAACATAGAAAAAGTAGGTAAGCACACTGCATAACTGTGAAAAGTAAGATCAAAGCTAAATATAAAAAAAGGAGCACATCTGGCTTTTAATGTGGGCTATTGGCCAGAGAAAACTACAGCACACACGGAGAAGCAGAACCAAGGAGTGGGCAGGTAGTACCGTGCTATTCTCAATTTCCCTCTATCTTGATTAAATGGAGAAAACGAGAAAGAAGGAAGGATTAGACATGACCAACCAGCATCTGTATCGGCAGTGGTTTTCCCAGGCTTAGCTCCATGGAGACAGCTTAATCAAGCAGATGAATAGCAAGGCAAAAGAGGGAAGCTGACCATAAATGTGCCACCTGAAGGTACTCCCGGTTCTGCAAAACTTCACCCCAGGCTGTAGGAGCTAGGTTGTAGGAGCTTGTATGGACTGGTGAAAACCCTGATATGGCCAAGGTGACAGAAGAAAACATACAAAGCCAGGAAAAGGATTTTAGTTTTACTGATTCCAGAATATATGGTGGCAGCAGTGATAAAATTACAGCCATGTTTTCACAAATATACATATGTTTTGTATGTTTTCATATAGTGGGCAGAAAATGGTGATCTATTAGAAGCTTGTTTTAGTCCCAAGTTTTATTCCCAAATACTTGCCTTTCATTTTAACATTTTTTTAGTGAAAAATATTTCACATAAACATTGATTAAGCCAACGGTTAAGCTTCATATTGATACCAATGCTGTTTATATTATTTATTAAACAGCAATTTTGAACTATTTTGTTATCCTTTTTATTAACCAATTTCCAATTCAAAGTCCAATGGTAATAGCCACTTCAAAGACACTTAACGGGGGCCATCAAGTTGTCTAGTTTTATCTCTTATTTAGAGGCAGCCTTGATTTAATCTACTGTAAATCATAGGTCAAACACTGAACATAGTCATGGAATTAGACAATCTCATTAAGTGTTTACCTTTTGTTTAAACGGAAAGCTAACAGGTTTCATTCCTGATGTAAACAGAGAATGTAATAGAAATCTCTACATGAGTAGTAGTGAATTATTTCCTCTAAATTTAATTGCAGGCAAGATTTCATTTGTAGCTAAAATTTTCCTATGATGTTAGTTAAAATATATATTGAAAAACTCACATTTCCAATAGCCAGTAGTGCTTTGTCAAAAAAGAGAATCATTCCAAAGAACAGGAAAAACACTCCAAATCCTGTTAATCCCATTCCAATTTCTGCAATATAAATTACACGGTTAAGGGTGGAAAACATTAAAGTGACATTAAAATCCCTGTAAACTAAGATGATTTTTCAGTTTTTTTTTTTTGTGTCATTGATATAAGGAAATAGGTCACCCAAACTGTGTTACCATCAGTATTTAGTGAAGTAAAGAGAGCAAAGGGATCTAGACAGTGAGTTTAATAATCTGGGGAGCATGAGCCCGCTTGCTTAGCCAGGAAGCCACAGCTGCACACCCCAGGGGTCCACAGCATTTCTCTGCCAAGGGGATTAACAGTCCTCCCTTCCCTCCTATCAGATGGTTGAAGGGCACAGGGGTGGTGCTGGACCACAGAGGCCTGCCAGTCTAACTGGGGGGTATAAACCTATGAAAATCAGGTGAAAACTTGGGAAGTTGATTGGTCATTTTGAAAAAGCACCTGGTCTGTCCCAAACCAGAGTTCCTGGTTATAATCCCAGCAGAACAAAGAAAATCTCTTTTTCTCACCCTATGACCCACACCCGCATGCTGCACTCGACTGTTCCCTCCATAGCCACGTGGCCCCGCCAGCCGCATGGCCCGTGACTGTGCAGACTCCACACGCAGGCTCCAGGGCGGAGCTTGAATTACCTCAGCGTAGCCATGGACAGCAGCTGAAAACACATGCTAAGCTAGCTGGTTGCTGGACTGGACTGTAGAAGGGAGCAGAAACTCTGGGCAATGGCCTTTATTCTGGCCCCACTGAAGACAAGACTGGACATTGTCCATGGCAAGAGAGATGGAGACGGGACACTGGGAAGTCAGGAGGGGAACCCTCTTAATTTTACACCATCAATAAAGTGTACCATGGAACCCCATCCTCCTCTGCAGGTCTCAGGAAATTCTTTTCCTTGTGACACTGTGAAAACTCCACTTGCACTGATAACAAGTGCAAGTTAACTTTGTAATGACAGTCACTAGGATCTATAACAAATTAAATTAATATCAGCAAATTATCTTGGATTTTGAATTTAAAATATAAACCGAAATTTCTAATTCTTATTTGAGAGAGCATTCCTTACAAATATACCATAACAGAGAAAGATAAATCACGATTCTAAACTTTGGTTTGTATTTTTCCCTTCCAAGAAGCCCTCTGGCATCAGGCATAAATATATGGGTTTACTTTTACTAATTAACTTATCTCCTACCAAATTCTATGACTATTTTTATATGAACGATACTTGCAGTTCCTTCTTTCCTCTCTAAGATTAACTCCCTCTATAACCCATTAGAAAGTGCTACTGTAGGTCAGCACAATATATTTCAGTACAGTGACAACAGGAAATACTTTGAGAATCAGGTAGCAGTCTCCTCAAAAGTTAAGTTTCAAAAGTGAAGTATCACTTTTAACTTCTTGATGGCTTATCATGGATTTATCTTCTATAAATTTACCTGAACTAGAAATCCATTCACATTTTTGAGAGGTGACTAGGGTTAGTCCTAAGTCACCTCTCCAAAGTTTCAAAGAACACTTTTATCTAATATTAATATTACGAGTTTCTGCTCTTTCACTATAAACAAAGAATTTTTTGATTGATTCCTAGATGTCAGCAACTGTTCTAAGTACTGAGTATGTACACAATGGTGGGAGAAGTGTAAGCTTTGAAGTCTGTATATAAAATTAATAACTTTACTGCCTTTACGTTTTCCAAGACTTACCTTTTCTAGTTTAAAGAATGTAACTTTCTAAGGTTACAGTTGTACTTTTCTGTTAATATTACAAAGCACAATCAATCCACCAAGTCACTTCCTTGATCATTTCAGTTTTGTTTTCAGGAAATAGCTACCAATTCACATTTTACCCAGAAGCACCATGTGCATAAAATAATGAATCAGGGCAGAAAACATCATATTTTTGGAAACACAGTTTTAAATGCACTGTTAGTGATTTCTGATCTGTTAATTTTTTTTTTTTTTTGCCTCAGATTCAGAAAGCTAAAATCATGGTCACAGCTACTTAAAATTTTAAGCCATGTAAAATGTTTTGAAGAGTTGAAAATTTATATCATATACCTTTTTCTAATTCCTCTACCTCCTCAATTTATACTTAACTACAGCCTTCCATTCAGCTACCCTTTCCTCCCAAAGTTAGAGTCTAAAATTCAGGTACTTGTCTATAAATACACGGGTAAGTGTATTCCACAGACACCAATTTCCATGAAAATTTGAGGCTTTCATGCTTAAATGCCTTAAAAGAATTTACCAAAATAACTGTTTAGGTGGCAGACATAATTTCCCAGAGGAAAATAACATAAGAGTAAGGAAAATCCCATTAAATAACTGTAGAGTAGTTAGGATTTAACCACTGGCACCTGAGTTAAATGAATATGACTGATTTTTATCTTTTCAAAAATTATACTAATGATTACATAAAAAATTTGGAGGTGTTTGTTCAGAAAGGAAAATATATGGAAATATATCTGTATTGCCATATAATTGAGAACTTACCAGAACTGGCCATTACAAGGTACTTTATATATCTTATATAAAACGTACTCCTCCCCAAAACTACTGCAAGGTGGCGGGTATCATTACATTATTTTAGAGATGCTGCAAACTGATGTTTAGAGGAATTGACGTAAGTTGCCTAAAGCCACACTTCCCTTCCCAAAGAGCATTTGAACTCAGGTCTATTTGAAATCCGAAATCTGTGTGCTTAACCATTTTGCCATACTGCTTCCCACAGGACTTCTGGGTTACATTTGTTTGGTTAAATGCAACTCAGGGTCATTAGAATACACTGAACTTCTGGGGAAAGGGTCTTTAATTGATTCAAGTTTAATATAATTAGTTTAATAATATGTAACTTAGTAGATGTTAATAAAACTATTAGAAATTGAGTATAGTGAAAAAGGACAGTGTCTAAATATGGTTTTGCACTTAATGACATGTTTATACAAATTCCTTTAACAAACTGTGAGGTGAAATGTAACACCAGCCCCACATTTCATACGGGCAACCGGAGACTCAGAGATTTGTAACTTACTCTGGACCACAGAATCTGCAAATATGCGAGTGGTGGTGATGGTGGCCAGGCGTGGGGGTGAGGGAGGACGGGTGTTGGTGGTGTGGAGTCAGGCTGGGATTTCAAATCCAATATACGACTCTGCAGTATGAACAACTATAACGTGGAAACCAAAACATTTCTACTACTTTATCCAGTGTACTCAGGCAGATGTTTGTAACATCTTTTCCAAAACTGGCACTAGCATGATGTTGCCAAGTATTCCCTAATGTGATGGGGTCAGAAGTCTCACACTGGCCTCACTGTGCCTTTTCTCACCTCTGGAATTCCCTTCTTCCCTTTGCCGGTGCATTCAGAAGCCTGCCCTCTCACCACTAGAAATGGACCCAGTGAAATAAATGTATCTTCCTCTTGCGCACTATCAAACCTTCATCCCTCTTGCCCTGGTGTATGTTTAACGAACGATCTGATAAAAGGAATCTAATAAAATAAGTTTATCTAAAGCAAAAAGCTTATTGTAGAAATTTTATAAGAAAAGACATGCTTAATCCAATAGCACTTACTTTAGCATTTTGGTATCTGATCTTAAATATTTTAAAGCAGCACTGTCTTTCTTCATATGCTTTTAAAAAATAGAAGATGTCAGAATAAAGAACTCAAGTGAGTATCAAATGAATTGAACTCAACTGTGTATTGTGGTAGAATTTCAGGCTATGTGATATAATAAAGTAGAGATTTAGAAGCAGCAAGGAACGGTCCACGCTGTTTCACTCAATAAATCTTGTGTTTTTGTGTGTGGGGGGTGCTATTATAGACTTTCTTAAAACAGTCATGAATTGCTATTTATTCTACTGTGATCAGCACTTGGTCACTCTCTCCCAGAATCAGATTCCCTGAATAATCTTGGCAAGTCACCAGAATGATGGCCAATACCTGGAATTAAATACGCAAACACCATTTGAAGTCAAAGCGTTTTTGATTCATTAATCATTTTGTGTTCCAATCCACCGTCCTAATTAAAACATCTGGCAGAAGAGCAGGAAAGAGCATAATACATTTTCCCCATCAATTTAATGAAGAGGGGAGAATGCTTCCCATTCTGCCCATATGCCAGCCCAACTCTCTTGTTCTGGTTTTTGGAAGGATGGAAATGCAGAATTTGTTCCTATACATCTTCAACATCAAAGAATGTACATGCACAGGATAAATAACTCATATTTCCATCTAGGTAACAATTGGAAACTCAGATACACAGGAGTAACAATAATTTACAGCTAGATAGGAAAACTATGCAGAGTTTAAGTACTTCAAGTAATTAGAGTTAAAAATAAATTCTAGCAATTTATGTATACAATTCTGCTAATTTCCTTGGGCAACCTAACTTTAATTTAACAGAGCACTGTGTTTCATAAAAAATAGGCTCCGAATATCTACAATTTTTTAAAAAAATGCTTAATTCTCTAAGATAATTATCTACCTAGTGTTTGAACTACTTTTGCTGTGAAAGAATTTCATCATGCTAAGATAGATCTCAAAGTTTGTACCATATTTTATATGCTAGTAGGGCACAGTAAAAAGAACAAAGGTTTTTATGCCAGCAGAGTTGAGATCAAGTATTGTTTCTGTAACTTTACTTATGACCATACATTGAATTTTTTAAAATATTTTATTTATTTATCTTTAGAGGGGAAGGGAAGGAGAGAGGGAGAGAAATATCAATGTCCGGTTGCTTCTCATGAGTCCCATGCTGGGAACTGGCCCCTGCTAGGAATTGGCCTGCAACCCAGACATGTGCCCTGACTGGGAAATCAAACCACGATCCTTAGGTTCGTAGGCCCGCGCTCAAACCACTGAGCTACACCAGCCAGGGCACACTGAATTTTTTTGAGCCTTTTTTATTTATTAAAGAGATATACTCCTCTCTACCTTACAGGGCTCTTATAAGAATTGAGTGTAATGATTTATGTGAAAGCATACGATAAACTGAAAGAACATGCCATTATACAATTGCCAATTTTTATTATAACAGTTAAAAAAAAAGGACTACACTTAGATTTACTCTGATCAGAGCAGATGAGGCCAAACAACCAAAAAGGGCCAGGGCAGGTGGCCCCGGAAGTGCAGACTCAGTCCAGTCTCAGAAAGGAAGAGCCTGACTGGGGTGGCTGTGTGTGTGTGTGTGTGCACCTCCTTAGAAGCTCTGTGAAGTTCAAGTCAGCCATGACTCAAATCTAAACCTTAAAACTCCACTTAAAAAAACAGCACTTTAATAAAGTCCTATTTTCATTTCAACAGACTGTTTAATTCTCAAAATCTTGAAAAGCCAAGTTAAGTTTACCAGAATAAGTAGTAAAAGGCGTGGCTGAAAAAGCAAAACAAGACAAAAGAATATCTCGACCCTCAAAGGTAAGTAGCACAGGGTTGGGCAGATACCTGAAGATAAATTAAGACTGGTTAAAAAGGAGTCCAAAAGTGGGAATGTTACACTGAACGAAAAGTAAACATAGCAACGCCAACTTTAGAGATAAGATAGGCCGACAGAATTCTGAGGCAGGCAGAAAGAGATGCTAAAATAGTAAAACAGGTCGCAAAGCACAATATAAAATACTAACAAAAGAAACCCTTTAATTAACACAAAGTGACTTTTTACTATTGTAGAGGCATTAACTGATAGAAAAGTGAAGTCATTTCAAGGGATTTTTAGTAGGTTGCCTCCACTGCTGACAAAAGGCACATAGTTAAATATGAGCATATTTTTGTAAAGAGCCTGCAATAGGTGACATTTAAAATACCGCTTCCCAGACAACCAGCCAGTAACTTGTAGGGGACTCCAAGTCAGTCATGTCCACGAAGGTTCTCAAGAGTGGGCCGCTGTCACCACAAATCAAACTTTCTCTGGTAGCGGTCCGCAGGAACAAAGCGCCCGTCTCACTGGGGGTGAGAGAGCCCAGCGACCGGGCGCGAGACACACCCTCGGCGAGAGCACCCCATCCCCAGCTCGGGCGTCTCCCCACACACCACTGACTCTACTCCCAGGCCAGGTCTGCCACTGCACGTCCAGCCCTCACCCCCTCAAGGGAGCCCTCCAGGTTCCCATAGCCCTAGCGATTTCACAGGCCGCCGCCCCCAACGAGGAGCTCCATTCATTGACTTGCCAGCAGGGGTGGGGGGCGGGTGGCAGGGCGAGACCCAGCCCGAGCCAGGGGTGTGCAAGGCTCTAGGCGGGGACCGGGTGCAGGTTCTTACTCTGGGTGTCCGTTAAGGAGATCATGGCTGCAGTGGGGAGGACAGCAACGACGGCACGTCCAGGAACCCAGGATGCGAACCGAAATCAGGAGTAATGAAGCCGGGAAACAGCCCCGGGAAAAGCCGCCACGTCTTCCGGAAACACGCAGACAGTCTTGCCCCAGCTTCAAGACGGCTTTCTATTGGCTAAACCCGCTCCCAATATCAACTAATTATCCGTAGCCTTGTTCGGTGACTCAATGGTGGCCACACCCCTTGACCAATTAGAGGAGGGTGTTACTTGCAATTGGTTGAAGGGACCGACCCGGAAGGGTGGATGCTTCTGGCAGGAGAGAAAGGGAAGCTTGGTGGCGGGAACTTTTTATTGGCAACCCGCTGAAAGCCGTGAGTAGGCGTTTTGAGTTCGGGGCACTTTGGGGTCGGAGACTGGGGAGGCCGAAACAGGGGTTTATTAACCTCTTGGCGAGAGTGTATGCTGTTTCTCCAGTTACGCTCTGTAAGGGCTGATCTTTTCTTTTCCTGCCTGAAGGCCCCGCTGGTCCCCAGCCGGTCCCCACCGGTCCTTTCACTTTGGCAGGGGAGAAACCCGTCAGGCTCAGTGCAACTCCGGAGGGCACGTTCATTTTATCTCCAGCTCTTTTCATGCTAGAAGCTTGGTCGCCAAAGCCTTTTTATTGGCAGCCAACGTTTATTGGGAAACACCAGTGGGGACGAGTAAGCGTAAGGGAGGGTATTAAATTTCCCTTGCTTCTAAAAGCAGGTGGCAGGGAGCAGAGGAGTGTGTGTCTGATTTAACTTGCGGCACCTCGGTGGCATTTCCGTCAGCGTCGATGCTTGGGTGTGAGGCTGTAAAATATTTCTTGTGGGTGCAGTAAAAAATTCAGAAACAACAGAAGTAAAACCAGTGAATAACGGAAGTAGTGAAAGTGTATTTGTTCAAACGCCAAAAAGAGATTGTGCTAACCGGGAGCACTCAAATCAAAACACGTTCTGAGACTCAAAGGTGTGTTGTTAAAGCAGCTTATACAGTGAGAAGGTAGTGGCTGCTTATTTTCACAGTGATTGGTTATAACATTAACGTGTTAATGATAGGGAATAGGTCAGTGATTATTTTATATCAACCTTGGGAAACTTGTAAATTTTACTTATGATTTCCAGAGGCGTAAGTGAGAAACGACGCACGTTAAGTTAGTTTTACAAAGTAAGCTAAGTTAAGCTTTGCTTGTATAACTAAACTGATGTTATCTGCTCAGGTAGTTTTCAAGGCTAGACTTCTTTCATTTGTGATTTTAACGGTGCCTAGCTGTACTTTTGACTGACAGACTTGCTGCTACAGTTCATTTCTGAACATGTTTTATGTTGATAAATCATTCAGTATTAAATCACAACATTTTGGGAAGGAATTTCTTAGCAGTTTTTTGACACTATAATCAGAGAAATCATTTATTTTTTAAAGTTTTTTTTTTTTATTGTTCAGGTACAGTTATCTCCATTTCCCCCACCACTCCCCCCACCCCACCCTCAATCTTGCCCTCCTTTGGCTTTGTTCGTGGGTCCTTTATAGTGTTCCTTGACGACCCTTCCCTTCTTTCCCCCATTATCCCCCTTCTCTCTCCCCTCTGGTTACTGTCAGTTTTATTTCAATGTCTCTGGTTCTATTTTTCTCACTTGTTTGTTTTGTTGATTAGGTTCCATTTACAGGTGAGCTCATATGGTATTTGTCTTTCACCACCTGTCTTATTTCACTTAGCATAATGCTCTCCGGGTCCATCCATGCTGTTGGGAAGGGTAGGAGCTCCTTCTTTCTTTCTGCTGCGCAGTATTCCATCATTTAAAATAGTGGAGGGAAATGGTGATAGAATATATTCTTTCTTAAGGGTAGAGGTAGCCTCAGCTTTCAATCTCAGCAAACCTGACCCTGCACCACATGCAAGGCACTTTGCTAGGCCCTCTGAGTACAAAGGGAGAAGACTCAACCCCTGTCAGAAAACCTTGCAGCCTCAGGAGAAGTATATTTCCACAAAGTGGTGAAGAGAGGTTTACACAAATAAAGAATTGAAAGTCTTTGCTCTACTCCCCTCCTTCAACATGTTATACGCCATGGCTCTTCCAAACTCCTTGGCAAGGCAAAGAAGACCCTGCCTATCTTTCCATCCTAGTGTTGGTTTCAGAATTCTGTTAGGAAGGGCGTAAGGTCTGGTTCAGGGTAGCTTCGTGCTGAAGTTATCTTCGGAGAACATGCTAAGTTCGTTTTAGAACATGTTATAGTCCATATCAGAGTTAGGGGTGGTGTTCCCGGGGATTATGGGCAACCTAAAGTTCCTACCCTTAAGCCTCATCTTCTTCCATTTGCTCATATATGTACACTTATGTGTTAGTCACTTATAGGTATTTAGAGTTTAATACAAACCATGTGTTTTCCCTACTTCTAGGGTTTTCAGGATCTCTCTTTCCAACATATACCCTCCCACCCCTATAGAATACAAAATCCTTTTTAAAAATTGAGTCTAAATTGTAATTCTTTAAAGCAAGTATTCAGTAAAATATAAAATGATTAATTTGGGTATTTATGTTGATGGATTTTGCTTAATTTGGGACATTTGAATATATCCAACAAGGTGTGTAATTTTGCTAAAATTACACAGTAATTTAGTACTGTTAACTAACCTCAAATCTTTCTCTTTTTTGTTACATCACTTTGTGGTGATTCTTGTTGTGTAATGTACATTGTATTATTACATGTTTTTGTGACTTTAGACACTTGTTCAAAAAATAGAGGATTTTCCATGAAACTCACTGTGGTGAGAACCATTTAGTCCTTACTTAAAAGGTACTTATTTAAAATGCCATTTTCTAACATTTTTTTTGGTGCTTAGTTGTGGCAGAATATCACTGATTGAGCATAATCAATAGTAATCTTAAAAAATATTATGATTTTTATTTCATTTTTAGAAAGAAATTTGGATCTTCAGTTCAGTTTAGAATGGCATCTATTTCAGGTTAGTGGAAACGATTACATTTTGTTTTTCATTCTGTTCTATTTCTAATTGCATGTTCTTTGAGAAAAAAATTGCTTTTCTCTGTACCTTTCCCTCAACTTTACTGTGAACCTTACATTGCTCTAAATAAAAGTCTTACAAAAAATAAATAAAATGAATTTAAAGTATATTCGTTTAAAAAAACCTGATGTTAGAAATGCTGTTTTTTCCAGATTTTTAAAAATCATGCTGAATATACATGACAAAGTTGAACATTTTCACTCTTCCTAAGTGTACAGTTCAATGGCATTAAGTGCCTTCACATCGTTGTGCATCATCACCAATCCCCACCTGCAGACGTTTTCATCTTCCCAGGCTAAAGCTCTGTGCAGTTAAAGAGTAACTTGGGATCACCCCCTTCCTCACAACCCCTGGTAACACTAGTCTCCTGTCTCTAGAAATTTGACTGTTCTAGGTACTTCATTTAAATGGAATCATATCTTTGTCTTTTGTGTCTAGACTATTTCACTTAGCATAATGTCTTTGAGGTTCATCCATTTTGTAACATGTATCTTTTTAAGGCTGGATAATATTCCACTGCATGTATAAAACACCTTTTGTTTATCCATTTGTCTGTTACTGGACATTTGGGTTGTTGCACCTTTTGGCTAATTGTGAATAATGCTACTGTAAAGATAGCTGTACAAAGATCTGAGTCCCTGCTTTCAATTATTTGGGTATATACCTAGAAATGGAATTCCTGGATCACATGTTGAATTTTTTGAGTAACTGCTGTGTATGTTTTCCATAGTCTCTGCACTATTTTATATTCCCACCAGCAATGCATAAGGGTTCCGAGGAGAATGATACCCTTTTTGAGTGAATTCTAGGGACCTAAAAATTGTAAAGTAGGAAATATAAATTACTCCTAATCTTACTGCTCAAATTAACACCATAACATTTCACTTTTTATTAAAATTAAAAAAAATACTTTGTACATAGTTTTGAAACATGATTAAAAAACTGTAAATATAGAATATAAACATACTGTTAATAAATTCTGTGTTCTAAATATTCTAACATGTGTGCTGTGTTTTGTTGTTTTGAACTGACATTAAATAAATGTTACTTAATCTTTTTGTGTTGAACTTTTACACTGTTTCCATTTTTTTTTAAGATTTTATTTATTTATCTTTAGAGGGGAAGGGAAGGAAAGAGGGAGAGAAATAGCAATCTATGGTTGCCTCTTGTGCATCCCCTGCTGGGAACTGGCCTGCAACCCAGGCATGTGCCCTGATTGGGAATCGAACTGTGGTTATTTGGTTTGCAGGCCCGAGCTCAATCCACTGAGCCAAACCAGCCAGGGCTATGCTGCTTCCATTTTTAAAACATAAAAAAATACTGTCTTGAACATCTGTGAATTGAAAGCTTTGTGTGCTTCTTTGATTATTTCCTTAAGATACATTCCTATGAGTGGAGTTATTTGAAATGTTTTTAAAATATAAAAGAAAAACATTCATTGTACCTTTTCCAGGCCGATGCAGTTGGTATATTGATATGTCTATCCATTGCTTGTTCCCATAAACTTGACCAGATTGGACTCTGCTTCTTAGGGAGATCCTGCTGTCTATTAAGAGGTGTATGGCAGGGGTGAGGAACTTCTACTGTGGTTATTTTTTAGTCTTTTGTATAGCTTAGTGAATGTGACCATTGCTACATACTAGCTGTAATAATAGAGTGACCAGATTCGGTTTTTTTTCAAACTTTAAAGAAATAGCACCTCCGTCCTTGTGCCAACTTTACAATTTATTTAAATATAAACATGGAAAAATAGTGACATTGGTGTTCGCTTTGACTCATGACTCATTCTTACACTCAGAGTTTATAGTAAATGTTAAGAATTCAAATTGTATTAAATGTTAACTCAAGTAGTCTCTACTTAAAGATTAAAATGAGGGTTTAAGAGATGTTACTGAATCTCAATTCAAAGTAGGATATGACTTAAAATATCTGAACCATGAAATAGATAAATTTTATTTAATAAGATATACTTAATTTCAAATAATTGCTTTCATATTGTGGTACCCTTTTCAAATCATTCTACCTCTTCTATTGTACTACCCAGTTGTTTAACTATATTTGAAATGCCTCTTTGAAGTTGCTGTCAGATAG